AACTTTCATACCCTTTGCGAATTATGTACTTTGTTCAACGGTGCCAACAACTGAATTAAATAGAGAGAACGTGGGGAAGCTATACGATGAATTCGCCGTCTGTCCTGTAGCAAATGAGAAAGTTGCAAACACGCCGGCCGATGATCGCCGCATTCTTGAAAGCCACAATGGGATTCTTCCGCCCATGCGTAGTATTCCTAATAGAGGGATACAAAATGCCGAATCCAATTGCTGGCTGAGTAGTACCATGCAATGTCTAGCAGAGACTCCCTCTGCGAGTTTCTCGAAAAATGGAGTGAATTTTCAGAAGTAACGACAATGATTGTTCACGATACCGCCCGAACTCTTAAACTTTTAACAAATGCGCAACATAGAGCCACGCCTATGAAATTAGAAGACGGACTTTTGAATATCGCCCAGTCATGTGGAATGACTCCGAATAGAAAAGAACATAAAGACTCAAACGAGTTCTTTAATCTACTACTAAATAAAATCTACGAGCAATTGCCCTTTGAAGGAAAACAAGAATTAGAAATCTCTTCAAATTTACAACATTGGAGCTGAATAGATGTTTGGTGCCAGCATGCCATTCACTTAGCGGAAAAGCTAATACAATGTGGAACGTAATGTTGCAAATTGCTACAGCTTCGTACACGGTGCGCTTACAATCACTAATTTGGACACGAATGTACGGTAGGTTTTCAACAGAAGATGACGAGGTTTGCAATAAATGCGCTGATGGCAAACCCGTCGTGCATCACTGTGAATTAGCGTTGTCAATTCCATCAACGTTCACAATAACTGTTAATCGAACAACAGTTCATAGCCAAACAAAAATCAGAACGCCTATCCTCTGCGACAGCGTTGTAAACCTGAGGGGAATAGACGCAGACCATTTCGATGATAGGGATATAAAGTTCGATTTACGTGCAGCTATTTTGCACAAGGGTCCTAGCATTCAATTTGGACACTTTGTAAGCTGTATTTTTAACCCCGACCAAACAGCATTTGTGTACGACGACGAAGCAGTAGACTCGATAACTACTGAGAATCTGATAAATTCTTTCGATTTCAAGACAAGTGTGTATATGTGTTTCTACACTAGACAACAGAAAGAAACAACACCACAATCGGCACAATGTGATACGGACCATCATTTCCCCCCCCAATGCCAGCCAGGCGTTCTTCAATGGCAACTAGACAAACGTGCTCAGGACGATGTAGAACAAATATGGACGTACAAGAAGGAACTGTTCTATGGCAGTGATAGAATTTCGTCGTTTCACCTAAATACACTGAAAGACGGTAACTGGCTGAGCGGAGATATAATTAACGGCTTCCTTAAGCGAATAGAGCGAAATTCACTGCATATCTTCTCATCGTATCTCTACACAGCAATGGGTAATTCTTTACGGAATGGCGGCATCGTTTCCAATGCATTATCCGTGGATCCATTCAACTTCAACATGCTTATGTTCCCAGTGAACACTGGTGACCACTGGTCTCTGGTGATATGTTATCCGAATTCTTACATGCTCGTTTACTATGATTCTATGCTCACAGTTAATATAGAGGCCTTTTCAAAGGTGATGACTTTATTAAAGGCTATGTTCCTTGTCAATAATCATGACTTTAATATTCAACGTTGGCTTTTTCTTTCACCGGATAATATTCCGGGCCAAGACGATTCCTCTAGCTGTGGGGTATACATGTGTATGAATGCCTACATAATGGCAAAAGACGAAGATATAAATTATATGCCGCAGGATATTACATACATCAGAAGATGGATGGTTAACTTCTTAATTCACGAGGTTCCAGTATCCCTAGAGAGTCAACCATTAAGAAAACGAATTCAACACGGGCCATTTGAAGAAGTACATGTGAAAAACAGTGACATTTTGAGAATGATAAGAAAACAAGACTCGGTGGGAAAATCTGTTTTCCAGAGCATAAAATTTCTTGCACAAACTCGTGTTGCAAGTGAAGTTGGAAGTAAAGATATCAGTGAAGTTGTTAATATGCAGAGCAATACATCAACAAACAGCATCCACGTGGAACAATCGCCACCACAACAGTCCGCGAATAAAGGTATATGTTTCTTTACCGGGAGATGTTGTTCGAAAGGCGTCTAACTTAAATTGATAATATTGTTTTCCATTTTCAACTTATCTGCGGTTTAAGTGCCTTTCGAACTAGGATCCCAGGATCCTTGTAAAGTTCTTAGCATAAGCATTATTTTGGGAATAATTTTACCTACATCCTTTAATATATATAGAGGAAGCATCAGTGTCCTATGAAATAAACGAAACGAAGCACTTCAATTTGCGAAGAAGAAGTAAACTGAAGGTAAAATATTCCGCACTATGCAATTTACAATAGGATATACAGTATATACATGCAATATTCATAATATACGGTCTATACGGTCTAAATAATATATATGACAACATAAGCATATATCATACTGAAAATATATTGAAGAATAGCCACGCATACAGTGAATATAAAAAATATCTCCCGCTGCGGCGAATACGAATGACGCGTAAGCGCGATAGACCGAAAAATTTCATGATCACGTGGCAGAAATCTAGCTTCCTCATTGAATGGACAGTTCAAATTTGAAGTATCATATATATGTATATTATAAAATAGTGATTTTTTCGCATTATTTAGAGGAAGTATCCATCGAGTGTATACGAGCTTGGATCTCCTGTATTAAAAGAAGACATTTCATTTGCTGATGCTAATGAGAAATGGGAATGCGAAGTTGAAAGGGGTCTTTTAACAAATCATTCTGGTTTAGAAGTGCGAGTCAAGCCAGCAAAAAAAAGAACTGGTTTTATCCTCTGGAAAGAAAATCGTTTAAAAAACGAAGCGGGAGAAACAAAAATACTAAAAAAAGATCTATCAAACATTTGGAAAGGTTTGGAAAGAAAGGAAAAGAGGGTAGGTTGACATAGAATAAATGAAACTGCGTCAATCAAAAAAGTGTACAATTTGCAGCATAATTCCTACCGTGATGCACTGTAAATAAATCACAAATTAATCTTTCACAGAATTGGGGAAAACAAGCAACATTGGAGAAAGAAGGATTTTCGTTTCGTTGGAAGAATATCTGGGATGACGGGTTTCCTGAAAAATGGTCAAATTTTATTCATTTAATCAAAAGCGATGCCCAAAATAGACTGAGAGCCTCCATATCAGACGGATCAGCAAAAGAAGGGAATACAGATCCATTCGTGAAATTCCGCACACAGTTCTACGAAAAGTACGATGTCAAAGGATGGCGCGAATTTCCAAGTTATGGCACATGCGAAAAGATGTTTTCAATTTTTAAAGAACAGTGTGCTGATCCAGTTTGTAATGATCCAACGTCCTGCATAAAATGGACCCTTTCGCCATCAGCTCTAAGTAATCTTATTGACGAATTTTACAACATTGTCAACGAATACAAGGCGTTTCTTACTCGAACACCACTAGGTCTTACCCAACTTTGTAGAACAGTATTATCACGACAAGGAAGCAAAGAGCTCATCAATACCCCCAGAAATGATAACGAATTAATGCTTTGTTTTGACCGGTGAATCAGGGGGTGCCTACTTCAATATCGTTTGCTTCTTCTCGCTCTACGTTTAAAACTAAACTACAGAAACAAATGAATTTTACTTAAATTTGTGCCTCTAATGCCAACGAAGAATGGCGTAAGAGATTTTAGCCAAACAACCTTGCATTGAGGAGATATTTTAATTTCGCCTCAAAAATGTGCCCACTCATTTGCGTTTCCGACAAGATTAGTGGTTTCAGCAAGACTTGTTATGCTCGCAATTCCTATAAGACGGAATGACCTCGAAGGCCAAAACTCATAGATATTGTGGCTTTTATATTTACGAAGAATGGCATCGAAGCGTTTTGTGCCACGCTTTTTCGTTTTGGAGAAATACGGCGATATGTTCGCGACATGTAGTTTGGTGTTTCAAATTAACATATGGCGGCGCATGACGGCACATACGTTTTGCTCGGTCTACAGACCATACGACACAAGTTAAAAAGTTTCGGATTGATAAATTGGATTTTTCCAATGCTGACGCAGAATGGCATTTAAGCATATTTCGATATATGCGCGGGCTTCGAAAATATAACATTTTAATTTTCTATTTCAGCATCTGCGGCCGTCACACGGCATTTAGACGCCGCGTCAAAACAATCGTTTTGCTCGTTCTACGCAGAGAGGCTTACAAGCTACAAAGTCCTAGAAACTTTTAGTTTGAACATTTAAGGCTGATGCAGAATGGCATTGAATATTTTTGTTGTATACGAAATGGTTTTTGAGATATAATCATTTTCGTGCAGAGTTTTAAATCTGGCTCTGCATTCGATCGCGAGGCGAAGAAAAATTACCATATGTTTTGCTCGGCCTCCAGCATAAATGCGATAAGCTAAAAAGCTCTAAGTTGCTTTATTTCATTCATTAAATGTTTATAAAGAATGGCATTTAATTTTTTTTCGATAGCTCAAACCGCTCCGAAGTTATCGCGGTTTCATTGCAAAAATCCCCTGTCTGGCTCTACATTCGAATCTGAATGTGGAGCCAGGAATGTGAAAATAGAGCCAATTAGCTCATCGTGGTTTGACTACCGTTAATTTTGCGTACCCCTTGGCTTAGCCAGTGCGCTCAAGAGAGATCTTCCCCCCCGGGAAATCATGCATATGGCGGCGGCTTGAATATAAACAGCCGAGACAGAACTATCTGGAGAAATCGTATTTTTGACAAAAACGTTGCTCAATTTTTTTCTCAAAACCAGATTTTGTTAGTTCTTATCCTTTAGAAGAGTATAGAAGTGGGAGCGATTGTTTAAATAAAGTGAAAATGTGGAATATATGGATATTTATAATGTTCGGGGGGGATAGGGTCTCTCTTTAGCGCACTGGCTAACAACATGGCCGCTAGGAACGCATAATTAATGCCAAGTCAAACCTCTGTATGCTCTGTGACCAGGCTCCACTGATCTCTTATTAGTCTTATTAATAATTCCTAAATATTATTTTAAATCAGATCAATGTTTTAAATAGCTCAGCGACAGTGTTCAGACGCCTTTGACAAAGCGAAAGCACGAAGTTCTGGAAGATGGAGTCACGTTTAAGATATAAAGACAAAATTGTCATAGTTACTGGAGGTTCAAAGGGAATTGGAGAAGGAATTGTCCGTGAATTTGGTAAGGGAGATTTTTTTACGTTTTATTTCCTTGCGCGGTCTTGATTATGAGACATTGCACGTATTATCCCGAATTGTTTTATTTAAAAGGTTAAAAATTATATATACAAGCGTTGTCTCAAAATTGCGCATGTGAAATCGACTCGCTTCCAGGGATCATATGCAAAGTCATTGACATTCCCAATTTTCCAATCAATTGTTTAAATTAAAAGCTCTGACTGTGATGGCCAGTTTTTTTTTACAAAATTGAATAATAATAAACATTTACTGTAAACTATTAAACTTACATCGTAAACTATTGTTCTTCTGCAGTCAAAGAGGGTTCTAAAGTCGTATTCTGCGCACGCGGAGGTAAATTATGAAATTTGATACTGTTCATTTTATTCTAGATGAAGTCACGTACATATTAGACTCTTTTGGTTAATTGGTTTCTTTTATTCCCTCCCTATGTCACGTTCTAAGACGCAAAACGTGAAAATATGTATGAACGTGTCAATTTACCCTTGGGGGGGGGGGCAATTTGTGCAATGACTGGATAGCACTAGTGATGCTAGATAGTGTTTTATTAGCCCAAATTTTATATAAGAAAAATTTTATAAAGGTCTTGTCAAATATGGGTTGTAACTACAGGCAATTTTGAATAAATTAAAAATTTATGTTTGGTGGCAGTTTTATAGTAGCCTCTCTTGTATCTATAACAAAAAAACCCTAAAATTATCTGGAATTATTTGTATCTAAAATTCTAAAATAAAGATTTTCAAGGGTAAAGAGATTTTCTAACTGAAGGTTTTCAAAGTAATGTGAGCAACAAAATTGCACACAAAATTGAATGTTTTGTACCCTTAACTTAGAGGCAATGGGCAAAAAACTGGAACAGGAATTAAATGAAAAAGGTCCTGGACTGTCATGTTTCATTCCGTGTGATATAAGAAAAGAAGAAGATTTAAAGGTGAAAAATAAACCATTAATGATCAATTGTTCCTCATTAGAATTTTTCTGCTCGTTATATTCCAGCAGTAATTAATCATTCAGTGTTCTGGGAGATAAAAACATGGGCAGTGATGAACAGAAATACATAGCTTCTTATACTGGTATCAATCATTTTCTATAACATGCACGCAAAACTAATAATTACATATAGAAACAACTTTTTTTAGAAATGCATGACTCATTAGTTGCCCTAATCCTGGACAGGGGGGAAACCAGAGTACCTGGGGGGAAACCAGAGTATCTGGAGGGAAACCAGAGTATCTGGAGGGGAACCAGAGTATCTGGAGGGAAACCTACAGCCGAAAATGCCCCTTGAAATGCACACAAATACACCATGTGATATATGATGCACATCTATCTATGAACTATTAACATAACATCATAATTTGCCCATGGGTAAAAAATTCACGGTTGTTTTAAATTGTCATTTTTGAAGGTTGAAGATGGAAATAAATAAGGGCGCAACGTTCTGCCCTGCCAAATAAAGCCCAAAATGGGGATTCTCAATCATTCCTCTTAGCTTACTTTTCCCCCATTTTGGGTTCACGAAAAAAAAAAAGCTGTCATAATGAAACCGAACCGTATGCTCCAGTGTCGTTGTTGGCTGAAACGAAGCGTTGTTTACGGTCGATCTCTGTCAGTATTTCTGAATCCAAACAATGCGAACTTCAATTATTTGGCAAAATAAAAGTTTAAATGAGCCTGCGCAAAGAACATCTCCGTTCCGTATATCAGGGACTCAAACAAATTCATCAATTTGATAAATTTTTTTATGAAAACGTGAAAACTTGCGCAAAGCTGACCTTGGAAGAGTTACCCCTTGATTGCCAAATTGGAATCAGAAACCCTTTTTGCGCGTTCAAAATACGCTGTGATTTTGCCTTCTCATTTTTGATTATAGCATAATTTGCATGCGCTTTGTTTTCTTTTTCATTTTTATACATTTGAGCTAACGAACTAACCTCACACAACGCATGTGGTTATATTTTTTCGGATCCTGTGCTAAATTGATAAAGAATACATCAGTCTGTGTTATATGTAAACTTATAATAGCAACAACCCGTCGCAATTCGTTGTTACGCGGCCCTATCAGCCAACCGAATAACAACGAAATTTAGGTTCTAACCAAATATGAAAGCGGCGAGTTTTATTTTTCTATGTCCAGGGTCTCGGTCTAAACATCCTCTCAGATAACTATATGTTTCGATTTCTCTATAGAATCTGGTGGACAAAACTATTGCGAACTATGGACAAATTGACTGCATAGTAAACAATGCTGGCTGGCGTTAGTATTTATATCACTGCATACACGGACTCTGGTATTTATATATATGCGTATATATAGAGCCTTTACCCAAGATACGACAAATTTTGTCTTTTCAGACCCGCCATCGACACCTATTGACGACACAACCACCGAGGCCTTCAAGTCTTTGTTAGAATTCAATTTAGTTAGCTATTTTTTACTTTGCAAGGTTTGTGCGACTCCTTTGCCTGGCATGGTTTTTTCGCTTCGACTGTTTTTTTTTCAGCTGTTTGATGTGTGATCTTTTTCTATAGTTTTCCCTCCCCTACCTGCGTCAAACTAAAGGAAACATTATCAACATATCGAGTTTAGTGTCGATGATTGGCCAGGCAGGAGCTGTGGCGTATTGTGCAACAAAGGTAGGCCTGGAAACAATGAAATGGTGCCTCGTCGGGGTCCGTGCCTACACCAATGCTGGTATTACCAGAATTACATCAAAGTTCTCAAAATTCGTCCATTTTTAATTTTGACTCGACAGGGTGGTATAGCGTCGATGACGCGTGCACTTGCGGTTGAAGAAGCAAAGCATGGTGTCAGAGTTAACTGGTAAGTGTTCATACATTTAACGAGACCTGAGATGATTTCTAGATTTCCTTGACTATAACAGACGTAATTAGCGGTGGTAGGCCTGGGAAGGGGTCAAGAAGTGTGACGTAACAGACCGACATAATGGTTCACCTTGAACTTAGTGTATCACCGGGCAATATCTGGACTCCATTGTGGGATGAGTTTGCCTCTGGGGAAGTTGACAAAGAAAGTGCTATAAAAGCTGGAGAAAAGGCGCAGGTTGGTAGGAATTTGTAAACATCACTATCATCACTAACATTTTCATCATCACCAACATGATGATTACCTTCACTATCATTATGAACATTTTCATCATCACCAACATGATGATTACCTTCACTATCATCACTAACATTTTCATCATCACCAATATGATCATTACATTCGCTAACATCATCGGCATTTTCGTCATCACCAAGGCCAGACCTAACATAATAACGAAGTCTAAGTGATGGCTCAGAACAGGTTCACCTTTCTCCACGCATGGCCGCATACGGCTTTATCCAGTTGAATTTCTGGTAAAGCCCGAGTTATTCTCTAGTTGTTAGGCAAAATGGGAACGATCGACGAAATTGGAAAGTGCTGTGTTTATGTTGCCGCAGAAGGCAGCTTTCTTACAGGCATCGACCTTCCATTTTCTGGTGGCGCTGAGCTGGGCTATGGACAAAAATCGCAGTAGATAACTTATTTTTCTATTTTTAAAATCTTCTAATTTTTTTAAAATTATTTTTGGGCAGTACTATATTAATATCGAATAATGAAAATAGCGGAATATTGTAATTAAGTAATACGTAAATTGATGTAATATAGGGTCAATATTTTAATAATAAAAGTAAATGACAAAAGTATAATTGCATTTATAGTTGTAGAAGATTTCATACTGTAACAGCTCCTTAGCTTTAGGCAGACATACTTTCAGTACAGTCAGCAAAATTACGTGACCGCGGTACAGCAATTTACTTATACTTTTGTGAAATGAAGTATCCAATTATCAACAACACAGGCTGACCAATTGTATCACGGGCGTTTGCACTTGAAAACAAAAAATTAAAACATGAAGAAACACAAACAAATTTGGGCTCTCGCTATAATTTTATTATTTTCGTTTTCTAATACAGTTAGCGGATTTTTCGAGGGCCTATACTGTGGAGAGGCAAACTGCTATGACGGTATGTACATATATTCTTAAGTCAGCCCATTCCAGTAAACTGAATGACAGAAAACTCGAAAATTTTAGCATCCGCTTGAGTTCTAAATATAACACGTTGCTTTACGAACTTTTGTTTATGAATGTAATTGCGGGTTGTCCCGCGAGATTTCGATTATTTTTTTAAATTGACCAATAGAATTGAAGCAAATCACCTTTTCACGCGAGCTTAGTCAATTCTCGCGGGATATTTAAAGTCCATATGTAAATATTGACTTTCATTTCGTAAACAAAGATTTTTATTCATTGTTCTTTTTTCTATTTTTTGCCACCTATAGTCCTCGGGGTTGGAAGAGACGCTTCGAAGGTTTGCTAATGAAAATAAACGCATTGCCTGTTAAATATATTTATAAATATACCTGTTGTGACTTTTGTTCACAGACATGTTACTTTATTACATTTAACTTTGCAGTTTTTTTACGTTATATTTTTTTAAAGCATGAGGTTATAATTAAACTTATATTGATTTCCTAGTAGAAGTGGTCTTTACTGCCAATTCTAGGAGATCAGATTAGAGGGAAATTATCTTTGAAAAAGTAGTTTGAATTGAGATGATCATAGTCATGTACCCACACATGACACATCCTTGAGACTAATCATTTTTACATATTGTAATATAAGTGGCTTTTCACAATGAACATCTTAATGTATGTGTGGGCATGTAGGAAGTCTGATAAAGACAAGTTTCAAAGAGGCTACCAAAATTGTGCTGAGCTATGGAGCTTCTAGGGCCCTAGTTTGATACAAACTAAACAGACATCAAATTGCAAGCACTATTCAATTTTTGACAAACACATGACAACTTAACAAGTTGATAACTATAGTACTTACCTACATTACCCCCATTCATCATAGACATTGTCAGTTGACCTCTTTCTTGTTTTGATGTATCTTTTGTTTGGTACGCATTTCTAGAGTGAAATCACAAAAGCGTACAGAAAATTAGCCAAGAAATACCATCCTGATATTTATAAGGTAAGATAACTAAAAGGTAATACTTCATATAAGTTACAGTATATAAAATCTTTTATAATATCTAATATGAAAACTTTGACCAAACTTTGTAGGGCAGTGATGCAGAAGAGAAGTTTAGGTTGATTGCAACAGCTGTTGAGGTAATCACTCAATTATTGAAGATGTCTGTCAAAGACTATATAACTCCATCCAGCCTTAGAGATCAGTGTGCATTGGCAATTGTCACAATTTGTGAGACTGAGTGCGATTTCGTTTAAGTAACTTGTGACTTCAATAATGTGGCTTCAATAATGCTGAAGAATGCACACAAAACAGTGCATGTGTATAATAATATCTCCATTTGGGGTACTTCATATTATTCTATATAGATCTTGAAAGATGATGAGCAACGCAAAGACTATGATTATATGTTGGATCATCCAGGTAGGACTGTTCCTGTTGGTCCCAAAGCATAACTGCTAGACCAAGTCAATGCCCCGTAGCCCTTATGACTAAGGAGTGTAAGGAAGTCATCTTACATATGAATACAGATGATGTGATCCCCCATGCTCAATTCCCCCACCTTCTTCCATTATAGAGGAGGCCTACTATAATTACTACAGATACTATAAGAGGCAGGTTTCACCTCAGGTTGACGTAAGGATTGTGATCGCAGTCACTATAACAGTGGTCAGTGTTCTACAGGTAAGTCGATCTTCACTGGTGATGTTATGCAAAGAGAAACCCAACCAATCTCTGCTTTCAAGCCTGTTGTTAAATGTAAATGGCTCCCAAATTTACCATTTTCACTTACATGTAGATATAAATCATAACTTCACATGTTTTAGTATCTCCATGGATGGCAACGCTACAACGAGGCTGTCTCCTATGCCTTGAGGGAACCTAAATATAGAAATAAGGTGTGAATAATTATAATTTTGTACCAGTGCAGGGACACCCAAAATGCGCTGCGCGCTACCAAGAAGATGTTTGCAACAAAGTGATCCAAAACGCGGTCTCTAGCCACTTTTATATCAATGAGTATCGAGACCACATTTTCAGGGTTTCTGGTGATGCAGGGCTTTCTGGTGATGCGGCGCTCTATAATCACCGGGGCAGACAATTTTGTTGATGTGTTTTTCTGCGGAATATTCGCGGTCCATTTGACCTGGCCTTTTTGCAGTTTTTGGCGAAATTGCGCCTTTTTACTCCCTGGCATTTTTCTTTGGCAGGCAATGAACATTGCCCTTCAGGAGGGTCTTCTAAATGGCGTGAAAAAGAAGAAAAGGCCTAAGGTAGCGTTTAGGATAAAACCTAGTAAAAGGAACTGTAATCCAGCATTCATGAATTTCGATATTCTATATCAGAATCATGCATATCTGTAGCGAATAAACCCCAATTGAAGTGAACTAGTCGAAGTCATTTTGACCGGAGATATCTCGGCCGTTAACTTCACACGTTTTATATCACAAAATTCTTTTAGGACGAAGTTAAGGAAGAGGAAGAGAATATTCTTCGTAGCGTGGTTGAAAGAAATGTTGATATAAGGTTCGAACAACAACAAGCGAACAGTAACAACTCTCTCGTATAATAATTCGTAATATTTTTCTTTGATTTAGCATCTCTTTTATAGTAATTTAATTGGAGGGGATCTAAGATCTTTTGTGGTTTTTTTGCAGAGGTGGCTATAGTCGACCATCGCTTTTGCAAGTTCTCTGGGTTCAAATTATTTTCAGGTGGTGTATTCAATGATAAATAGATTCCAATAGGTAGTTTAATATGGAAAACCGTTTTGGGCAACAATGGACATGAGACTATTCAATCAGAAAAAATTGATTCCTTCATCTAAGCCGCTGTCTCTTAACGGTATTCATCAGTGTACCATTGTGTGCTAACGGTATTCATCAGTGTACCAATGTATCCTAACGATATTCATCAGTGTACCAGTGTGTCCTAATGGTATTTATAAGTTTACGATTAATACTATGCCCTAATGGTATTTATCAGTTTACCACTGTTGTACCACTGTATCCTAACTGTAACCATCAGTGTATCACTGTGTCCTAATAGACGAAATAAAGGGTATAAGCGTCGCACTAACCAAGTTTCTCGTGTCACTTTTTTGTTAACTTATTTCATTCCATGCAGTCCTTATTACTTGGTTCTCTACATAATATTCAAACTTCGTTGGTTCTGGAAATTTACTATTCGTGGTGAAGAGTATGGCGATGAAGAAAAGGAATACTTAACAAGGAAGAAACTCAAATTGGGGGAAACTCAGTGGGAGGTAGTTTAAAATAAATATAAAGATATTTTCAGCAGTCATTTGTCTAGACCTGACCAGGTCATTTTTGATCGCTTTATTTGAGCCCTAAGTTCTGTTGAACACTTGTTAGGCCGTTGGTGTACACGAGAAAAACGAGCTTATAGGAAGAGAATTGTGGATACATGAAAATTTTACGGTGAGAGATTGTATTTGGTGAAGTATCAGGCATTCAGCTAGCCCACTGCAGGCGAAAGTCTGAGCAGCCATATATATGATTGAAGACTGTTTTTGTTTGAAGGAAGTTTCGTCATTTTGTTTTAGGAGTATCAGACGGAAAAAGAGGAAGAAATGAAAGAAAAGTTAGCTCAGAATAATAAATATAAATCTTATAGGTAAGAAACAGTCACGCGACCTTTCCACGCATGCGTCAATACACGAATACAAAGCAGAATTTGAAATGTTTCTAGATGCTACAGTGCGCATGCGTATTGCGTGGCTTTGTTGTCCCGCGTGCGGTAGATAAAAAGCGTTTTTTATAAACAAGAAGAGAATAATTTTATGGTATCATCAGTAGGGTGATCCTTACCTGTAGTCCTTCGGGACACAGTGAGGACCACGTGATGAAATAGAGAGTAATGATTGGTCATGACTTACTTTCTCTGGGTTGGCAGGAAATGCAACACCTTCCAATACCACTTCTGACTCCCTTCTGATGGTCCTTTATTGATATTTTCATCAATCATCATCTTTATTTAAATAAAACCAATTTAAACGAAGAGTTTATACTAAAAAGTAGAAAAAATGGTATTAATTATAGCAAATAGAACTATGAAAGTTACTGATCTCAATAATAACAGTGACAACATAGGTTTCACTTATCACGATGATATACTCATATACGTACAGTTGAGAGATCGGGGCTTATTCATAGCATAGTTTACTACGAACTCAATTATTATGGAGTGATCTTTACAGTAATTGTGTGAACTATATAGGCTGCAATCGTCTTTTTCGTCTTTCTCTAGGCGGTATATGAAGAATCATGGCCCAGGTAGAATAACATTTGATGAAGATTAATTACAAATTGCCGAATAAAGACGATTTGAGCGCATAAAAATCAAATAGAATCGAGGGGCGTATTGTTCAGAAATGCACCTCTCAGAATTATGGTCACGCGTCAAGTTATTGATACAACACATGCACGCCTCACAATATTTGACAACTACAGATATGATTGATTAATGTATCATGATATGGGGTCCCCCCGTGGAGATGACCGCTGTCCCCAACAATAGATGTAACTTTAACGCACGCGCACGGATCTCGGGAGTCGGGACCACTGGTCGGGACGGCTAATGGTGCCGATAATGAATGAGTTGATCTATACTTGCATGAATTTAGGCCATAAAAAAGTTTTTACCCTACTAGTACTAGATTAGTATCAGTGTAACTTATATGATGCAAAGTTCTTCTGTAGACACTTTGATGTAAAATGTTCACGAAGATATTTTAAATAAAGTCGAAACATAGAACACTATTTTACCCTTGGATTATATCTTACAATAATACTCGACTCTAAATTCAATCAATTTTTGCTACCTAACAAGGTATATATTGAAATTGAATTTTTCATAACTATATTATGGTGCATTCATCAGGGCATGTTTTACATGCATACAACCTTTTGAGCTGACCAGAACTTATAACAAAGAACCGCATCTTATTAAACAGACCATTCAGCTTAGTCAGAATCCATCCGCATTTTATAACCTGGTATCAGGCAAATAGTCGAAAGAAATGGACTTCTAAACCAGATCGGATTTACCATGACTGACACCTTGATACAATGCAGTCACATTTTATTGTTTACTTTCTCCTGTGGAGCTTGTTTATTTAATTAAACTTTAAGCCGGCCGTTATCGTCGTATGTATAAATATATACGTCTACAAAAGGTATATTGTTCATTCAATTTCAAAAGTCGTTAAATATACTCGACTAAAAAAATCGGATCTCAGTTCACAAACCATTGAGTGGACAGCTGATTGAGTTGGCTTGTCAAGAGGTACACCAGTGTCATCAGTACGAGGGCTGGACCTGAAGACATACGCGGCAATGACTTCGTATAAGGTATTTAATAAATTTATACATTTTAATGAACATAAGCAAAACATTTTCACGACGAAACTTTTAAAATGCGCTTTAAGCCTTGGACATGGATGTCGTACACGAGAGCGAAACAAATCAAAAACAACTTTATCCAAATGTTCACCAGTATTTATTCGTAAACTTAACTCTTGCAACTTGCAATGCAATTATAATTTTGAGAGCTGTGAATTTGTAAAGAGTGTTCGAAATGCTAAGAAAACGTTAGAAATGTTCGTATTTGGCAACTTCAGATGCCTCAGGAGTAGAATTGCATTGCAAGTTGCGAAGGAAGTAACACCGCCTTAAGCCAGTAAGCTTACAACGGTTTTTATGCAATCAACTGCCCAGAGCAATGGCGGACAAGTTAATGTGCTATTGACTGGTCAGATGACGGACAATGGCGCGTATTGCGATATATGAGAGGGGGGGGGGGGAGTCGAAAGATTCTTACTTGAGTGATGTACATGTGTTCTTCATATTGTAAAGCAAACGTAGTAAACCAAAGCGATATTTAGGACAACCAAAACGTATAATTTGCGCGTGCGCAGATCGAAACTCCGTCTTAATCCTGTTGTAAAAAAGCTAAGAAAGACCGAAGTCAATATGTCAATAATTCGTACCCAGGCGCTCCGCGTGTAGCAGCGCAGTCCATAATCCTTTACGACTTTACCAGCAGACACTTCCAAAAAATATAAAGTAAAACACAATCCGATAAACAAGTGATACTCACAAAAGCACACAAAAGTGCGTTTATTGTAATACTATCACTAGACTTTAAAGCTAAGTTGACGCTACGAATTGCAAAATGCAGATCCAGCAACGTACGTACTTCATAAGGGAAATTGCAGCAATCCGGGTGTTAAACCTAACAATTACTTTCCCCACTCCATATACGTAACACCGTATATCATACATCAGGATAATACATATAGATCAGTGTAGAGAATGCATACTTTTCCCCTTATCCCGGGGGACTGAGTGGGAGTCGAGATTTTCCCCGAAGATACGTGTTCCAGCGTGTGCTTGAAATACGCACAAAGCGTGCCCTCAAACGCAAATTCCTCGCCCTTTCATCTATAGAATTCTACGTAAGAATAGCTCAGCAGGAAAGGTTTAGGGTACAAATTTCGTGTGTGCAATTATGAAACACGTTTTGGCTTGCTCGTGAATGTGGACGGATTTGAAAGAATAGCGGAAAATTGTATCTGTGTCTACTATCAAGATGGTGCCAAGATTTCTTCGAACCGAACGTCCGCTATAGCGCTTTCCGCCGCAAACGATTCCGCAGTCCGCGTTTTCCTACCGACCACGACAAGTTTACATTGTTGTTTGAAATTACTGATACGCGTGTTTAAAAATTGCGTACGTGTGGGCAGAAGTAAATATGTAATACCACTCATTCCTCGTTGCCACGAGCATTGAAATTTTTCAATATCAACCCAGTTGGATAATCGTAAACACATACAATTATGAGGCATGCCTCGGCTTGTCTCAAGGGCATTGTCTAAAGTTGGCGAAGAGCTTAATTGCAGTAACAACCACGCAAACTTGGCTTAATACCGAAACTGTTGCCTGGCAGTGCCCGCTGGCAGTGAGCTCTATATATACGACTGGAGTGTTCAGGAAGGTGTCCGGAGTATATCAAGATCTGCGGCCGACGAATTCTCGCTCCTTAAATTAATCGACTTGTTGCAATATAAATATAAATATAAACACGAAGAAGGAATGTTGTGCTGCCCACTATGATCACTGTTGTCATTGAAATATTTAAAGCATCGTTACATTCGATTCAGGCTCTGATATGACAACCTATATGACCAGCGCATGGAATATGAGCGCAAATTCTTTAATACTAAAATTTGATTGGGGTAATATCATTCAGCGCTCTCTCTAGGAGCGTCTGACGTTCATCTCTATAACTGGAAAACAATATATTCAGTCCAATTTTGCTTATTCAAGTAAATGAAGTAATTGCTTCTTCACAGCTGAGATACTAAACTCCATAATTGGGTCTCAACACTCGAGCCGATTATCAAAACTACTCGGTAAATTCGTTAGATATGAATCTTCAGTAAGAAAACACTATAAAAATCCCTCTATAATCAGCACATTCCAGAGGTTTAGCACGGTAGCACTTTCTTTGTGTTTTTAATTACAACGTTTACTCGGCAGGCTCCTTTAAACACACTTTGACTCGAGACGGGTTCTAACTCGTTCTAAAACTGTAACAATGTCGCACGCATGAGGTCTTGCTTATTACGATGGTTCATTAAACAAACGATCGCTTTCTATGCCATTTAATCCATTTAAAAACGAATGACAAGGAATTCTTCATTGTGCAAACCTGCAGTAAAAATAGTCTCTCATTATTGCCAGGAATTTTTGTATTCAAAATATGTCCCTTTAAATTTCGCAATCAATAACATGCCGAAAATGACACAAATTGGATAGGATGTAGTGTATTGTGTTCGCAGAGACTTGAAGTTATAAGTTAATTAATATCATTTTGGAAAATGTTCAGGTTATGTTCCACTTATGTTTGGCCAACTCACTCAAACGGTTAAATGCAAGATATTTTGAGAACAAGACTTGCAAACTATACATTAACGTTACAATTAGACAACTCAGAACGAGTGTAAATTTGCAAAACTATACAGTAGTATGTTACAATTAGACAACTTCGAATAAGTGTAAATTTGCAACGAATAGCCAGAAGTTAGCTTCTTTTAATGTGTTAGGCCTTGCTAGAATACTGAATATGAAGCAGTTTAAAACGAATGGACGCATATATTGTACATGTTAAGCAAAACATGGTCATTAATTACAGAACATCCTTCGGAATTGGCAAAATATAAAAATGGCAAATTCAACATTCATATCTTCTGTTTCCAACCATTACAAAACGGGAGAAATTATATCCAATTATAGATGGGTTTTACTAGCAGACCTTTTCATAATTATACATATAGTCCTGATTATAAAAAAAACTGTATTGACTCAATTGAGACAATAAGTCTATATAGCTAAATGTGGCCGGAAAGTCGTTTGCAATCTTTCATACGAAAGTACAATTTACAATCTTTCATACGATAATTACTTCCCCGAACGACAATGCATGAAGTACTTAGAGTATCAAATCAGACGCGCCGACAAACATGCAGTACATGCATGGTACACTGAATTTCACTAACTTTCATTATACGCTGATATGATTTTACATTCGAGTGATCGATTCAATATATCCGATCTGTTACGTAATAACCGATCAGTGCAAGTGCATTTCACTAGAATATACGCCTCACATCACAAACTAAGAGATTTCAGTTGGTTTAACATGCAAAAACCCGACAGCCACTCGGTTTTTTCCGTTAGTTTTCTAATGGCCAGTAGCTCGAGTATTCGACCGTTGAAATATGGCGACACGTCCCTAAAAGCAGCTCTTGTTGAGAAGCAGTTAAACACCAGCAAACATCATACAAAGAGACTTTTATGTTGTGTGTGCAAGAAGCATGCCCCGAAGTTCAATAAGAAAAGTACTCAGTAAAGGGGCTGTCGAAAATTTGAAAACACTTCAAACTGCTCGCACGGCTGCAAGTCACGATAATATTACGCGTAGGTTTGGATCAGTTCGAGATACAAGTGGACTGGAAACATGCATGTTCTTCAGGAGCAATACCATATCTTGAAAACACGAAATATACAAGCATCAATTGCAAAACAGGACAACATGATTTCGCTGATTTTAGCTCTATTTCATAGTTATTGTCAAACCAGAATGATAATGTTTTTGAACTTCATATAGGAATCACAGCATCATCGTAAACCTGTCCTGTGTTATAAAGCTCGAATCTTGGGTTAACACGACGTTGTATTTTTTACCTATATGTTTTTTTTTAAATGTCTGCTGGTAATGCACGATTACTAGTTTATTATCCACTAAATTATTAGTTGGAACTCGTTGGCAGAACACCAACCAATTGGTTCGCTTCGTTGAATCGTTTTATCCGATTGCCTTATAAGGCCAATTTTGTTGCAAAGAAATGGTCTTGATGCTTACTGCGAGACAAACCAATATCCATTAAATTTAATTTGATACGCCAATTCTCAATTAAGTTGCAAACGGGGATAATAAATTTCAAGAGCAATTGCTTTCGTGCGCGTATGATGTACTACACGCTTGTTAATGAGCACGGATTGCATCAGATTTGATGCAAAAATAAACCTTAATGCTGCGTAGAAGATATTTACACACGTGTGAATGCACGAAAGTCCGTATCAATTGGAACCACTCCACCAAAACAACCAATCTCCCCCTCCGCCCTGCCTGCGACACGCAACCCCCACTCTCTCTTTCTCTCGGCACGCATCCACCCATTGAAAGCATGTACAGTTTCAAATTCTAGTCATAGTGGAAACGTTAAAAACGTTCGGTTAACATGGAGACAAATAGATTGATAACCGAAGTGATTCCTAGAAGTTAATGCACGCGCAGACGCACCCTTGGACGCGGATTAAAAATACATTGCTTATAAACCAACTCAGACAAAAACGGCGACATTAGCACATTCAAACAGAGCTGCACGCTGAGTTAAGCTTGCATAAGACCACATGCAAAAACAACGAAGCTTTCCTTGAATTTGGCTACTTCAAAATTACAGGCCTGATGTCGTACAGGACCGTACCTCCGGACTAATCGATGCATGCATGCATGCTTGATGCTCAGAATCCAACTTACTTTGTATGAATTGTCTTATACCCAATGCTGCTGGTTTACTGATACAAGTAGGATAACACATGTACAGAGGTAGAATGCGGTCCTGTTATTTACTTTCAATCTCTCGAGTTGAACTTGATGGCACTTTCACTGAATCCAATGCTCATGGTCAGCGATGCATGGCACGAGTCTTCGTGAAATTTTCCTTTCATTTGGACCTAAAATTAGAACGGTCGCGCGTGAAAAAAAGGAAAGATACGTGACCAGCTATAAAGCGGTATTTTGCACAGTTTGCTGGTTATCTATAGTTGCAAAGTGCGAAATTATGCTTGACTTGTTGCCATACGTGCGTGTATTAGTATATGTCGAGTTTAAAATAATTTTCGTGATGTTTTACGAAATAAAACCTCATTCATACACTACGCAGGATTTTAGGTTTGGAATGGATGAAATTGGTGCGGACGAAATCATCAATTTATACGTAGTTCAAATTTCATCAATCTCAGTTTTATTCGAACCAAACCTAAAAGGAGCATAGTGCATATAAAGGGATAAATATGCATTCTACAAATTGGGCAATCAATTCAAGAGTTCCATCCGTACCAATTTCCGCGTACCCTGCGAAAAATTGTAGTGTAAATGGAGCTAAAATGGAGAAGGGTTGATTTTGTAGAGGTAGTCGTGTCTGTTTGTAAATGTGGGGCCTGTGAGCTGCTAAAGGCAACCTTGTCTTGCGCAAAACGTCGTAAACACAGTTCTAAATACGGTAGAATTAATTTCAGTGCATGTTCGTTTTTCAATTCAGTCGACAACTGCTCTTAGTTTGATGGATATCAGAATTCGGTACAAAAGATCGAAATTGCCCGAACTAAACTCGACTTGATTTAAAAATTTATAAGTCCTAGTAAAAAAATGACGAGAAACGTCATGAAGTAATAATTATTTGACAGACTAGCTAAACTTGAGATTATGAGATATGCATGCATGCATGATATCCATGAACAAACACGAGATTAAATGATCAAACATCTGCATGCATACTGCAAATCCCTCACAAGTTAATCGACTACAAAGAACAGCTTACAAACAACCGAGGTAGCTTGTCCTTACGCGGCACGCGAAGACAAGACGCCTGTCGTACGTGGGCGCGTGCCACGACGTCAGCGGTGCGTGTCCTCGTCCCCAGTTTCGCGCTTTTGCGCGCGTTTTCCCACGGTCTCACAGACAGGGCTTTTGAATGGGCATTCCCGTGACCAAATGCCAATAGTTCTAGCTGGTATGTAACAAAGACGGCTCATTTTCGTGTTTAAAATACTTGGAGTCATTGCGAGGCTTGCATTTTGGAATGGGCTTCGGGGAAGGCAAACAAGAACGACAGAAGACAAAAATGGCCGAGAGACGCAAGGTAGGCTACAAGGTTAGTGTCTCACGGTGAAGTTATGGGAAGAGACCGTATACGAAAATGAAAGCCCTTTTGGTTTAAAGGGCATACTGTTTTCCTGTTATCGAGTTAATGAACCATTTGCTGAATGTATATATATTTAGATTGTAGTCTGCATTCATTTGTGTACATGTTTATAAAGCAAACAAGAGTGTAGGTGAAAGCTATACAATCAGGGGCGAAATCTATATACACTCGTCCGGCCATGAACTATAATATTCAGTTTTTGACGTTTGTCGAAAACTGCCGAGCAGACGTAACTGGTCCATAGTCCATTGCTTTAACCCGTACGTACTTCAAGCGGAATTAATGTCACGAAGTTTATATCTCAGAATAACACGGTTTCACAAAATCATTTGGTACGCGGCGGTATCCGCGACTTTGCAAGCGGAAATTTGGGCACAAAAGGGCCACTTTCGGCCGCTAAAACAACGCTGTATATGCAGAATTCAGCGATATCTTTGTGACATATTTAAGGCAAAAGTGTAGCAAATTTATGTGTCGACCTGCAGAGAAAATGAAAGATTGCTTCAAAGCCAAATTTACATCTCTATAGGGTATAGAATTATATGAATTTTGAGAGGTAAACTTGAAGATAGCTTATGTATATTCGTTCATTACGTCTTACAATTATACGCAATGCATATTTCTGTTACAGCAGCTGAAACAATGTCACTTCAGGTACATGTACCCAATTCGTTTATCGTGTTCGGAAAACGGCGACCTCGCTGTCCAATTTACCAAGGATTATACATTCGCATATACAATCAGTTTCACAACCACTTCGCCTGCCGGGTCAGTCAGTTTAGATGCGTTTTGCTTTGCCGTAAAGGCTACGGCGTCTGATGTCGAAATAGCGCTTACTTTGTAGCGGGGAAAATATACGTGCAGTTCCTGAAAACAGGCAAATAAAATGTGATTGATAAGTACAGCAAAATGTAATCTTTTTGCATACGATACAAGGTCAGCTGTAGGGTTAGAATTACAATAAATTTAAATGTTGAAAGTGCATTTTTTGTCTATTTAAAACAAGAAATCTGTATATAATGAATGCCTAATGATTTACCGGACTTTGCGTCAAGCTTAGTGACTCTGCTCGCGTCTATCATTATTAAAATTACTAAATCAAAACCAAAAATTTGAATGCGAAAACTAATTTCAAATCTGCGATCGCGTTCAGCGCTGAACATTCAGTCGTTTCAGCAGTGATTTGACTGAGGTGCTTCTCCTGCGAGAAGATGTCTGTCTATGATTAGCCTGTTTTATGTCAACGATGCATGCAATCGATTTAGTTGGTTCTTGCTTTTAATATTATAGTATTTTAAGATTATATATACAATAGTTTCAAGTCTGGAGCGCGAAGGAAAATAGCAAAACCAAAGGCAGGCATGCATACATACATAGATTTTTTCGTCGCATGCAAAGCCCACATGCAGGGACAGGGTGACAGCAAATCATTGAAATTTGGTACATGTTTTGTATACTTGCAGACAAAAATTGTCCTGACCTTGTTGGTTATTTTTAATAGTTTTTTTATGTAAACTTTTCTTCAGGCAAGGCATCCATGCATGCATTGCAGGCAAATTCGTAAAGATCTGATCTTGATTTTCAAATATATACCCAAGACGATTTGGCGAACATTGAATTATCTGAGTCCCCCGATTGCCGAAACTGATATTTTTTGCTTTGCCACTGCGGTATATATAATGAGTCATCGGTCTTTCGTGAGAAAAAAAAACTGTCATTCGATTACCGAATTAGAACTGTATGAATGATATTCGCACTGTGAAATCACTCTCCAAAAACGAATGCCTTTTGTAATTAAAGGTACGTTAGGCGTGGAGGATCCAGAGCGGTTTTAAAGCTAGTAATTTATACGGACTACACAAGCTATAAGTACTGCATGTGTGCATGAAACTTGCAGATCTGGCGACTTGGCGTGCGCGGAGTTATGGGTCAGGGGCTGGTTGTATTTAAGAAAGGTAGCTAGTTGACTTTAAACTATAGATAGTGCATAACAAAATTGGCAAACGGATATATGTTTATGCAAAATGTAGTTACGACTTTCTTCATGCAGGCCTGGTTGGGATGAATTGAAAATTTACCAAGACGTATCCGGCATGTAAGCAGCAAAAGAGAGGTTTCTATGCAACAAGATACGTGTTCCGAGTATTATACATTTTGTTTTCGCTTCGATTAAAGCTTTTCGGATCTATAAAGGTATTATACATACGTGGCATTTATATACATACGTGGCTGACCTCCTAAAAACTTAGGACACGCGTTTGGATGCATGGGAAGGGATGGAATTTTTTTTAGGCGGTACTGAAGACTTTAATGTCGGAGGTACAAATTAACATAAACATATATAAGTCGAGCTATTAAAAGCATTTGTTACTAACCTTGCATATATACACGCGCTCCTTACAGAAATAACGGCGAAAGACGATATCTTGACAAGCGAATCCGGCATAAATAATGTAAAGCGGACGTCTAGCTTCTAAGCCGGGTAAATGCCGCTTTGAACTGACATACGCCGGGAGGAACGATGAATCTTGTAGGACTTTACAACTCTCGCGGCTGTCAAAAAAATATAGAACCATCAGTATATACGCGTGCATGTACTTATAGATAATATAAATCAGTGTTATGACAAATGCAATAGAGCAGTGAACATATATTGAGTTGATTCTATATATCTATCTATTTGATAGTCTTCGAAACCCATCATGGAAAAAAGAAGGAGAGAAAGGATAAACAACAGTTTGAACGAACTAAAGAATCTTCTTCTTGAATCAAGGAAAAAAGATGTACGTATATATACGCATGCATGCATGCACGTTATTTATTTAACAGGCTTTGAAAACAGGCGAAAAGCGTTTAGCTGAAACGACGGATATATATAGCACAAAAATGGAAAACAAAATGATCTACTTTATTTATTAAATATGCATAGACAACTGAGCTGAAATATTTCGATGTAGTTTAATAATCAATTGGAAGTACATATTTAACGCTCAGTAACACTAACAGCTTAAGAAGTACTAAGTTCAGTCATTCAAAATATGTAGCTACTATATACGTGAGTAATGTTTATCCACAGGAATTAAGCTGAATTAACGCGTTTCGAACAACCCGCTCTAGCAGTATACTAGAAACGTAACTAAAATAATTTAATACGTTCATAGTTAATACAAAGATTGCATGGTTAGTAGAGCATCAATATGTTTCATTTTAAAGCATGCAGCCAGTATTCAAACTGTTATAGTAAGTATATATATATATATATATATATATATATATATATATATATATATATATATATATATATATATATATATATATATATATATATATATATATATATATATATATATATGATGCTTTGTGCGCATAAAGTTGCACCGACGCGAAAATTCAATTTGTATACCAGTGTTTTGTGTCAATCAAAGCTCCCTGGCTTTAAAATCGTTTCTCAAACCCGTGCCATGCAGTCTGCCAAAGTATATACGGGTGAATATCTTTTGGACCAAAGATAAGCTGGCGGTGCATGCATATTTATATGTATATGGCTGCCGACGCCAATCATTATGGGAGTTTATTACTACTAATAGTATCATTAATTATCATGGCGTCCAAACAACAGCCTAACTGACAATACCTCATCTTCAAATTCTTCGGCAAGCATGCAGTTCAAAGTTAAATCTGACGGGGGGTAAACAAACCCCCCACCCTTCCCCTCCTCTGGCACCCTAATCCCCCACGAGTTCTTTTCGGCCTCTATATAGCACAAAGCCACAACAGCTTTGGAATTTAACGGAAAGCACATGTAAGGTGTATTTTTCAGACTGAGTTTAAAACCACGGTATAGCCTATAAAATACCGCCTACATTTGACATATCAATATGCGCGTATTTGCTATTCGCATGCCTTTCATTAATTTGGATTAGAGAGCAAACTTCATAGAGCTCCTATTTACGTTTCGCTTGAGAATAAATCTCCGGCATGTTTGGACAGGATTTCCAGTTTTATATCCTGATGGGTTTATATATAAGCAAGTCATCTCATGTCCAACATAATCAGGCTATGGCCACGCTTATTAGCATTTAACACTTCAACAATGAGGTTGGACGTAGAGTAAAACCTGAATTGTGCCCTTGGAATCTGAGACCGGATGCGAAGCTCGCAATTGAAGGAAACTCTTTTGCATGGAAGGAATTCGCTTTTTTGCACCGTCTATCATTTGAAAACTTCTGATAAAAGCGTCTATATAGTTCCCTTTATTGAGAAAATTCGCTCTGAAACTTCATCACTTGTATCAAACGAGGCTTCATAAAGAGGTATTTTAAGATGTTAAGAACGCATGCAGAGACGCAGTCGCTTCATGGCGCCGCGATTGTTCAAAAGCCGGTTAACCTAATCCTGGGTTAAAAAACTGGTCCACCAGTCAAATTCTCCAGGGGCCAGTTGTTTTAACGTCCGCTCACATGATCCATGTAGTTTAGCTAAATCTATAGTGCACTTCTGAAGTATGGAATATAGCTTGTTTATTAACAAAAGCAGTAGCACGTTCCCTTCCTGCACACATAACAATTTCCTGCACACATAACAAATCAACAGACAACATAAAATAATCTTTCAGAAGTAAATTTGATTAGACAAACTTTAATGCGTGCAAATATAGATATTCAAAAAACTCTTAACTACATTTTGGGCAGTCAAAACTCAATCCAACCCGAAGGTTAACTACTTGGCAGTACAACTGACCCATGCAAACAACAACTGTACATTGTTAAATAATCCTTTACATGCAAGGGTCGACAGTGACATTTCAAAACACTCTTTTCATAAGAACTCGAAATTATATGCATTGAGCATTTTCGACATAATATTGGATATTTCATTGTCTAGCTTTAAGAGTGAATTGTATTGTTATACTATTGAAATTTGTTTTTCATATGTATATGTATAAAGTGGATGACCCACTTACGTGGAGTGGTGGTTAGCTCGTCTTGAATTTGAAAAGCACGACTTTTCATGAACAACCATTTTGCTGAATTTTGCTCAACGATAGCACCTTAATATTTCTCATTACTTCGCGCCATATCCACATTGGTACATGCAATTGCCGTATCTTATAGATTGTCTTTCTTTTACGTAAATTGTCAGTGGTATAATGCATATAGCTACATGCATGTTATCTAAAATTATGTATTATTGTTTTGAAAGCAACGTAAGTATTATATAGCAAGCGCATTTAAACTGAAATTTAATAATTATAAACTCATGCACATCAGCAGTGTGTTAGAATTATTTTGAGTCATGCTTAAAGCTAACGAAACGGCTGGTCCCTGGATGCAATATAAGATCGCAATGCAGGGACACTATAGAAGCAGATATATATCTTTTCGCGATCTTGTCTTTGCATGGGAACTCTTGTCGTTTACCTGTGCAGTGAAGGAGCCGGATATCCCTCCTTCCATCTGCATGTACACAGGTTGAAACTTTCCTCCCAAAAGATCGCCGATTCTTGGTAAATTAATGTCATCTCTATATAGCTCGTTTATACTTAAGAAGAAATCCAAGTCATTTTCAGGAAAAACCAGTAAACCAGGCAGTTACTAGTTCCAAAGTTTTTTAATTTTCCTGCTAAAAGTTTAAATCCATATGAATTACGGGCACCATTATACAACTATAACTTCACACGCAGAATCGGGAATTCCTGGGCTAAAACAGACGACACCCATTCCTTTGAAGATTCATCGCACCTTCAAAAGTGCATTTTTGTGTTCGAGAGGTGGGAAGGTGAAGTCAATCATTTCGGAGGATATTCGGCAGTTTAAAAGAGCTTTCAATAAATTAACCATATACGCTATATCAATCTAATATTTTGAGTAGAAAGTGCTTATTAAAAAGATCTCACGCCGGGCAAAAGTGCAGAAACTATTTCCTGATTGAATATACATAACTTTATAGGGTGTTGGTATAATCATGTATTGTGCGTTATGCATGTGCATACTTGCCCTTGAAGCGTTTACCACAAAAGTCAAAACTTATCGAAATATCAGTCGCGTGTGTGAGTCGAGATCTTTTTGTCTGAGGCTGAAGGCACGCATTACAGACGCACATTACGTGCTGAAGGCACGCAATCAAACAATTATATACAAGCCGATTATTACATAAATGTTCTGTGGGGTCCTTGATCTTCTCCCCTTTATGATGACTAGCCTTGGAAACCAAGTACCATCTGATAAACGAAGCCGTATATACCGTAGCACCTGGCCGGCTCTGCATGCATGTTCGATCCGATTTCGACTGCGTGGCGACAAAAAGTATATGGAATTCGGGAAATTTCAGTGGATCGGACCTCATTGAAGAACAGTTTAGGGCCGCTGCATGAAGCCTTCCGGTGCATAGATAGTTCTGCTTGCTTCACTTCGATCAAGGAATTTGCTCATTAAACAACCCGCTGGGGTGTGTTAAACTTTATTGGTATTTAGAAATTGTTTAGGGATTTAATAACTTCACAAAATGTATTACAGATATATACTAGCTTGCAGGTGTGCACTGAAACTGTGAAACCACCGATATATAAATATATTGGCGATGAAGTGGTTACAAAATTTTATTTATATATGGGCATAATTCAAAACACACACACTGTATGCAGCTATAAATGTTATATTGAATTCATACCAAAAGTTGGAGAATACGTCGATGACGACTGCCTGCATATTTCAGTTCCGTTGTTGATATTATCGGGTAGAATTCGTTCGCATACCAGACACACAAAAAAAAGCAGAAAGTCTAGACGACCTCGAGTTGCATGCATGTTCGCGAGATGATCATGGAACTGCACGCTCCTTTGCAAGGAAGCGTGATTCTTATTATTGAGACACTCGTAGCTTCATCACTTTTGCAAAGCTAGTGCAAAAATCTTCCACAGTAAGATCTTCCCCTTCCAAAAGCAAGGGCAATCCGTTAACAGGTACAGGCTTATCATGCAGATTGAAAGAATTCTCAAGTCCTGTTCGAACGAAGCCAGCATGTTGGGCCAACATTATTTGACCTCGTTAGTTTCATTCCAACGACCATGTTGGGTGATGTTTGGTGCAGCGAGATTGGTCGGTTGGACTGCATCCAACATTATGCATGAGCAACGTTAGGGATGTTGCTTTCGTATGAGCGAAGAATTTTTCGACTGAAACCAGATGATTGGAAACGAAATTGCAATACGTTCATGATATTAAACATGAGTGCATGTGTATGTGCAGGTCCACTTGTTGAAAGAATTAAGCTTAAGAATTTGTATTTCACCAAAACAAGTAACATAAAGAATACATAAAGATAACAGTAATAACATATATTTATCACGACCTTGTAAAAGAAAAGATATTTCTTTTGGACAAGCTTAAGTTGAAGGGATGCGTCAGTGTTAATCGTCTGTTCACACGATCCAATTCACTTCTAATATATGTTTAATAGTCTGTTCACTTACATTGAATATGGGCAGCAAATACACTGAAGCCAATTCAGTATTGCATTATCGATAATACACTACTTCCCATACGTCAGAAGTGAATTGGATCCAACAAAATTGGATCTTATGAACAGGCATTTAGATCATTTGAGATCCGTTGACAGAGAATCAGGGAATCGTTCTTTTCATTCCTTCTCATTGAATGAGCAGTCACCGCTAAATGATGCACGTCAACCGAAGTTCATTTCAAGCTTTCGAGTGGATTTTTTGTCTAAAACACTTTTTCATTAATTATCTTGTCTTTTGTAGACAACGTGTTGCTCGAAGCTAGAGAAGGCGGATATCTTGGAAATGACAGTCCAGTATTTAAAGTCAATACGCAGTCAGCAGGAGAAAGGTGAGGAAAGTTTCTAACCAGCAGTTTTCCGGTGGTTTTTTTCAGGTGCTCAACTCACAGACACGTGTCCCTCCCTCCCTGTCTCTCCAACTTCTTCAAAAGGCCTATCGTACTTTTAAACGCGTTAAATATAATGGGGGGGGGGGGGCACAAATATGAGTGAAATATTTTCATTTGCAGCTAGATATATTATTCGGAGGTTAGTTTGCATTAAACACTCGGGTGATTTTTTCAGGTCGTGCGCTTCAAACATAAAAGCACTCTAGTCTCGATCTTTCGAAACAAAACACGACTGGTGCTGAATTGTTATCCACACTTTCCGATTGTTCCCATGACAAAGAACTTTGAATGTGACTAAAAGGAATTAAAGGATACTTGAAATTTCATAGTTCTATAAACTCTTCTACAGTGCAAGCATAAATTTGCTACCTAGGTCAAGTTCAATTCATCATCTTCCGCTCTAAATATAGCCGCGACGTTGTAAAGTGCACCTTAACCACAAACATTTAAATGATTGTCCTAGTTAAGGCATTCTATATGGAAGTCAGTGTTTTAGCCTGAGTTGCATCGATATCAATGAACAATTCGGCCATTTCGTAATAAGTTAGGCGGCCAAGATTAGTACAGCACTCATGAAAGTAGAAATAATGGTGGAGTTAGACTCTTAGAGTGGATCAATAGCTACATTCACAGGTGGAACAATTCAGGTTGATGCAGCTTCATAGACTAGCTGGTCAATTGTAAATGCATTGTTGGTAATGCCTTACGGACTAGCCAAAGGCAAAGATGAAACGAAATGGTTGGAGTACAGTTGTAGGTAGAACAGTTTAAAACCGACGTACAGTTAACCAATATAGAAGAGGTAATAAACTTATTAGACTAGCCATGCGAAGAAGAGTTATGGAGTATGTCTGCTATATAGTGCTATCGACTACATCGTAGTTGTGAAACTGTCCAGAAATTATGGAAATAAAAACTTGATGTATGCAGTTGATAAATTTGATTAGTTTTATAAAGATGAAAGAGTTCGCCAGTTCGGAACAGACGAAAAAATTAGCTAGGACGAGCCGGAATATAATAGCTTTATTTATGTCCATTACTTATATATGTCTTACTCACCTAGCTGTAGGTAGAACGACGTAGAACTTATGAAGCTTACTAAACTTAATATCAAAAGTAGGTATAGACTATAAAGCAGTTAAGTCGAACTAGTACGACATACATGGATGACCTTAACCTCGAACCTGAATCCCAAACTTCCATAAAAAATATTTCCTGAATGCGTAGAAGTGGTCGTTAGTACTTAGTGCATGTGTTCTTGAATTGTTTAATGCTGACCTTAGATCACTGATAAGATATCGTGGTCCTCGAATATTCGAGGAAAGTAGTTTCGTTAACTGATAGAGCTATCCTGTACTGGACGGAAAATTAACTATCTTTTTTGAATTTTATCTCATTACAGCGTCTACGACAAGCGACCCAGTTGCCTTGGCCCACTACAGAGCAGGCTTCAACCACAGCGCGATGGAAATAAGCCGATACCTCATAGACACACCAGACATTGAAGTAAAAGTCCGTTCCAGACTCCTCACCTACTTATCCAACAGTTGCCACGCCGCGCTCAACAACCAGGCTCTGATGAAACAACATTACCCCTCAGGGTACCCGACACCTATCCACCAAGCACCCGAGAAGTCAACACATGTTCCAAAAGATACATCGTTATCCACAGCAATCCTAGGCGATCCAACAATACTCGCAATTACCCCTCCTGAAGCTGTGCCATACTATTTTAATCCCTCTCAGCTATTGATGCCTAGTAGTTTGACGAACGGAAAATTAGCAGCAGTGTTAATGCCCAATCCCAATTTATGCAGCTCACCAACGCAGCAAAGAATGCTGGGTCAGCATTTCAAACTAGAACCAGGCTCTTCAACGTCTACGATAACACACGGCCAGGAACTTCACCGAAAAGACGCGCATATTTCAAACAATGAATCAAATAGTAGTACTCACACTAGATCTCGTGCCCCGGCACCGGCTGACGGAAGCGTCTGGCGGCCATGGAGTTAACGCTGACCAAAAAATTGAAAAACCGTGGGCGCAGTAAAGAATAGCATCACAGAGCCGAAAAAAAGGGCAAAGCAGTATATTATGAATAATTAGATTAACGCTAGATTTGAATGAAATCGAAAAACATTTAACTTAAATAACCGATAAACTTATCAGTAAATGCGTCAGTGAGTAGGAAGTTAAGAACACAGGACACCACAAATTTAGGGCCTCTTTCGTATCAGAACTTATATTTCGGAACCATATTTCGAACATTGAAAACTATGCACATGAATGATCCGAATGGAACTTGTTTTATTGGTATTGAACGCACATTTCCACGCATTACAGCCGATAAGGTATGTTCATTGCATTAGCTTTATATCACAGCATTATATTTATACATAAATTTCCCTAATGCAATGTACTTCATATTGAAGATGAATTATCAAAAATACTTGGTGTTTAAGGCTCTCAGACACCCATTGCAAAAACCAATTCGCAAGCTCGCTGCGTGCAATTTCCTTCAATCACAGTGCTTGACAGCCTTATTCTAATTAGATGCAAACACTCGCAGCGACCTTGCGAGTTGATTTTGCGATGAGCGGACCGAGCCTTCAGGCTTGAGAGTAGGCTTTTGTATAGGATCACACATTTTTGACTAGAAAAACGCTAGTTTCATTATCGCAGTAGCTAAAAAAATAGGATATATTTTCAACTCTCAAATTTATATATAATAGTGTATATTGTAACAATAGTTATTTTTTTTCATTGAAGAAAAATTGAACAGTGCTTTATAAGCAGATATTAGTCTTAATGTGTAAATATATTGGCCTCAGTCCGATGATTGCTTACCCAAGGAGGCGTATAACTCGATTGAAGAGTTGCTGGGGAGTTTGGATCGAGGGGTGGATCCAGCACTAGTGCACTATTTGAAAATTCGCCCCGGTTTTGTTTTGTTGTTTTTTTATTTCTTTTATTTTTCGTCGTCGCAAGTCTGTAATGGCGCGAAATATACTAGCATTTGAAATGTGTATGTGACCGTATTTATCTACGTCTCAGTCTTATCGCCCAAGAGTTAACGCCAGAACAGGCGTCTTGTTTGCATTACAAAACAAAGCGGTTACTTTTTAGCAGTTTTCTTGTGTCATGCAAATTAGTGCACTAGTGCTGGATCCACCCCTGGAATACTATAGTTTATACGGTATTTCTTACGAGTGATACACCTCTTGCATCTACAGAGAGGGCTAAAGTTATAGGATTCGACCTAGCGAGAGAAAGTCAATATGTTAGGACGCGAGATAGCTTTTAAGTAAAGAAAAACTTGTGAATTAAAAGCAGTCGGAACTTGTTGTGTATTGACAATTAACATTCTCTTCATTTCTTCATGGTTGTTTATTTATTTGAACGAGTGAACTTTAGTAAATAACTGGAACGATACCTCCTCATTGTTTTTGTGAAGCCAAAATTTGCGGGACCTTACCTCCAAGCACGAATATCTGGAGGCAAGCGTGTATCCCGGAGCCCACGTTTCGGCCTCGCCATGGGATCATGGGATCTAGGTACGAGATTGGACTTTTATGTTGACTCACGATGTCTCACGATACAATATGGCAGCAGCAATCGAGGAAACCTGCGGTCTTTCCTTCCCAATAGTAGTGAAATACGCATAAATGATTGGCTCACGACCCATCAGAACGAGGCTAGCGTAACTTATCACTGACCTGCTGTACACTGGACAACAGTATTTTGTCTGTCGTTACACGAGGGCGCCGTATTATGCGAGGTTGCTAAGAGACATTGCTGGCACATTTGACTCAAACATTACGTAAACTGGAATCAAATATCATATTCCTATTGTCGAAACAGCTGTCTCATTTCGCGCATTCATTTCTTAGACAAACATATGCTCACTAGACTGTTTTATCGAGCCAAATTCTGAGACATAATTGGTATGATATAGCAAATTGAAGTATTTCTGACATCGAGAGAGAGTTCACTTTGGTTGTTTGGAAATCGGTGTTGCAACTTTCGGAAACCGCAAAGACGACGCCGACTGCGGGTATCATTAAAAGGGTTTTCTAAATTATTATTGAAATTTACAAGCTATTTACAGTTGCCTGTTTTGTGCTACGTTTTAAACTGCGAAAGTAGAAAGATGATCAAAACCCATGCCCTGGTTTGAACAGGCATTGACGATGTAAAGACGAGAAAGACATTTTTGGCGTGAATAAAGATAAGTAGTCCTCTTGAAATAACCGTCTTCGGTATACGATTAACTTTGTTTTGTATTTCAACAACACAAAGTTGTATCTAAGATCTTTCGCGGGAGGGAAACACAGGCGTGAGAGCATCTCGAGGGGGAAAACGTTAAAACAACAATTGTACAAATCACGCACAAATATTGTAGGCTCGCCCTCAAAGTTAATCCTCAACACGGATTAAAGTTCAGATATTGGCCACAGTGTGGAATTGCATCTCGTGAGAGTTCGGGATAGAAAAATTCGATTATCGTACGCCATATCATTGCAGGACAGTCAGGACAGGTCTGTACAACGCGTCGCCGGGAACATCGCGTGTCTTGTACAGACACATGCGGAGCTGAAACCGAGCCACCGGTTATATTTTCGTAAGAGTAAAGAAACCCAAACAAAAAGCACACATAATTACTGTCGTTAGGCAACTTCAAGTGGGAATCCATTAAAACGAATGGAATTTTAGACAAGCAATACTAGAAGAAGGTATATCGTGGAGTTATAGTTACATATTAAACTACGGGAATTTCTTCTACTTGAAATTGGAAAATTCTAAGGAATTACAGACATCAGTTTCTACAGACGTATTCGCAAACTACACGTAGTGGCCGGATCATTGCGGGAGTCATTAATACAGCACAAAGACAGGGATTTGTATCAAAGGATAGATGACGCAGAAAAATTTGCTGGAAAAATAAAGGATATATCTTCATATAAACTGTCTTTACTAATATACATCGCGTTTATATAGAGTACACAAATTGACCGGGTACTCAGAGCAGATCTTTCATCGTTGGACTTTCAAACAAACACTGCCGGTGATATTTATATACAAATATACTGAAAGAATCGCTAGTTCCTCCTGTTTATAACTATTCAATATTGAACTCCCAATAAACATATTGAATAGTTCAAAATTGTTTTATATCTTGTTCACATTTGAAGCGACATTTCACCAACAGTAAAGAAAAACTTGTCCAGCTTTTGATAAAATTCGAAAAATGCCTGCATCGACTCGACGCGTTCAGGTCGCTCCGGCTCAGAATGGCGCCGAACGGTCTCACAAGGAACCGTCCCATCCCAGACACGAGTTGCGCACATCTCGTTGCGTCAAATACACGATGTTTTTTAAAAACATGTTCTTTCTGTTGTGTGGCGTTTTCGTCGGCGCTATCGGAATAATCGCCCTTCAAGAAAAGGGGAAACTCCACGGGCAGTTCGACGGTCTTTTCCTTGACCCGGCTGCCATCATGCTCAGCGTGGGTATTGTGATATTCGTCGTGTCCTTTTGCGGGGCTCTGGGGGCATTGCGAGAAAACAAATGCCTCCTGAGGTTCTTCTATGCATGTCTGATACTCATCATTCTGCTTCAACTGTCCATTGGCCTTGCCGCCTACTTCGCGAAGAACACGATTAAAGGAAAAATCGACAACGTTTTCCAAAAAGCGATCGTCGAATATCAGGACGACCCGGATTTGCAGTCCCTAATCGACTACATACAATTTGAGTTGAAGTGTTGTGGTTCCACAGAACCAAAGGATTGGAACTCGAACCCTTACTTCAAATGCAACAACGAAAGCATATCGGGTACCAGTGACATCGGCAGCGCATGTTCTGTGCCTCATTCCTGCTGCAGTACGGATAAGCTAAATAGGATGTGCGGATTCGGGGTGTTTACAAAAAAAGGTGAAATCGAGGGACGCGAGAAGAAAATTTACACCACTGGCTGTCTGGAAGCGTTGGAAACTTGGTTTAAGGATCATGTCATGTACGCTGGGATTGTTTGCGGGGTCCTGCTGGTGTTGCAAGCGATCTCGGTCAAGCTTGCGTTCCGGATGATTTCGGATATTGATGAGATCATTAAGTACCGCGACAGATAATGATGATATTATGATGTAAATAGTTAGCGCAGGTATTTGTGTGACTGACCAATGGGGTTACTGTACGACATCATAGGAACATTGGGGGTATTGAGGATTATGGTTAACAGCATGTATTTACTTGTATGTGGTAGCAAATGTAGATGGAATATTTCATTATTTTCCAATTCCATGTGAAATACATAGGTATCAAAGTGTTGCCCTCCAAATTTACTAAAAAATTCCCATGTATTATACGTTCCCTATAGAGAATGTTATATAGAGCAATATGTATTCAATAGCAGGGCTATATTATAAACTACCATATATTTTGTCAGTGTTTTTTAGGCTTTTAATAACCTATGTTTAGGAAGCTTATGCTGGATCAGCAGCAGATGTTAGCCTATATAAATGAAATTATGCATTTGTATAACTAGAGTTCATAATATATTTTGTATTTTCATATGTATGTATAGTATAAAATTATCTAGATTAAAATGTGATTATGGATTCCGGATGTCTAAAATTATTGTGTGGAGAGTATCAAACTACATAATTATACTATGCAGCCAGACATTTGTCAGTACGTTTGATAGATGTTTAGGGTCTGTGGTGTAACGGTGATCACTTCGGACTCTGACTTCGAGAATCCGAGTTCAATTCTTGGTAGAAACTCGTTGAAAACATTCATTCTACGTCTTTATGTAATTTTTTATTTCAGGCTTTTCTCTTAAACATCTTGCATGAAGTCTTGAGCTACTGAATAACATGTTGTGACACAGTGCAAGTTTGGTTGTTAAACTTGGTTCTCAATCAGTCAATCTCCATGGTTGATGATCATTGGTGAATTAAGTGCTTTTTTTTTAATAAATTTTTATTATCACAGGCCGTTTATTATCACAGACAATACATCATTCATCGTATTCACCGACTGTCAATGATCAAGGTTTTATTCCAAGGCATGTTATAGAAAAAAAACAGTATTTCACTGACTAGCTACGTATGTGAAGCAAACGCTTTTTGATGCAGAAGTCTAATGTCATAATATTCACTTGAATTTCACCGGTATTTCGTTAAAATATACGAACAAATAACGCAACAATTCTTCTCTGGTCGAGAAGTGCATGTATATTTCAGGCGGTTGTATAAGAACACATTTAATGGTAGGCTATTTGAAGAGGCTTCTAGTCTTTTACCCTGTTCACTGGTCATCTTCAAACAATGAAGGGTTTGAAGTACATAACATAAGTTTCTACTCACCGGCGATTGTGGTATTTCGTAAACGATTGCGAGAAAATACTAAGGTTGAAAACAAATCTAGGTTACTTCTGTATTTCAGACATGTTGCAAATTAAACCATAAACTAGCGTCTAGACTCTTTAAAATGCGTCCACGTGCACGCGAAAGTCAATACTTCGTGTAAGTTTTTAGTTGAGTTCCATGTGTAAATTCAATTCCTCCGGTCCGGTCCTCTCCCCAAGCGCTTTGATTGGTCTACGCTGCGGGAGAACGCGCGTGGCCCGCGAAGGGAAATGAAAAAACTAGCAAGCTTTTCTTTACCACACAAATTTCAGTAGAAGTCTAAATGATCACCCGGTACAAGTGTACTGAATCATATCACGCGATCTAGGCGTAGCCTCCTCCGCAGGCATCTTTGATGTATTTATTTAGCTATGTTAGGCATGGATTAGGTGTTACATTTAACTGATTATATTTAAGTCATTTTAGCCCGTTTTCCACTAGGCGAATTTATTTGCGCAACACGAAGCGATATCTGAAATCCGGTGATGTGATTGGTTTGCCAAAAATATTGGCCGCGAAAAAGTGGAATCGCTTAACTTCCTACTTTTTGACTCACGGATACCACGTAGGAGTATTTCACTGTATCAGGAGTCATTGCTAACCGTCTCGCATTCTTTAGTGCCATTAACTCGACCAACCTGCTTTGCGTGCTTAGTATTAAAAACTTGTTGATCTGGTTAGTCTACTAGCCAACAATTAATCGGCTATTCGTGCATCCGTGAGTCGTCTCATTGAGACTTTTGATTATCTTTTCGCACAAATAAATTCGCCTAGTGGAAAACGGGCTCTAGGCACAGACAAGGTTTCGTCCTTAAAATTAAGTTAGATTTGCACATATCATTTCTGCCGTCATATATACGAATAATTCTAGCTCGTTCTTCGTTTGTTTCTTATGATCACACAGCATACACGAACGGTGATAGTTGTCCAGCTAATGTTGAGCGTTCTTGGTTGTGTACCAGTCGACACTGGGGACCCTGACGAAGCGATGATTGGGGACCTTGACGAAGCGATGATTGGGGACCTTGACGAAGCGATGATTGGGGCCCTGAACGAATCAATATATGAAACAGTTAAACAAGATAATTCCTTGCTATCATACGAGAATGGCATGGAAAGAAATTTGAGAAGTGCGTACGGAGTTGTCATATCTCAAGGCAGTAAGATAATTCTTTCCATTCAAAATGGCTATTCGGTGTGGAAAATTGAGCCGGACTTTAAAAACCTTGTTTACAAACACAACAGCTTCAAGGCACCAGCTTTACCCCTTCCACCGAGTTATTATTGATCCAGTCCCTCACCGGTGACACCTCGTTTTCATGAAACAGTATCAGATTTGATATAATTCCATGAAATTATTTCACAGCGATATTGCTTTCCTAAGAATCCTACCTTTGCTAATGGAGACCTTCCCTTCCAGCGAACTTGGCCCCTTACGGTTGGACATTTGAGGCCCAGAAACTAGCGAACGATTAGGTCCTGATGCATTCGTAGCATAATGACTGCAAGAAGAATGAAAATAGCACATTTTGGGAAGTTTACAAAACGAAAATCATTCATAATGTTCTGTACACATAAAATTTATTTCACGTTCATTTTGTTCATTTAAATAAAATTTTAACGAAAAAACATCTCGCATTGCTTGTTTCTTCGTAAAGACTATTCATACTCCTAATATATAAAGTAGTTGGAACAATCATTTTTCAGGAGACGAAAACGACGGTTAATATGGTCGTACTAGACCTCTATGGGGAGGGGTGGGGGTAAAAACTAATAGCTGTTTCCACTTACACGAGATTACGCCGATCAGGACCTTTTCTTAACGAGGCTTGTGGTCCAACCGACTGTAACCTGTTTGGCGAGATATAAACCGGTTTCCAGGTGGGCGGCGCTCTGATTTCAGTCTCTTGCGGAGTCCTAGTGGCACTCGCTGTCGGCGTCGCTTCTGTGATTCATACGGAAAAATGAAATGAAAAAGCCATAGACGTTAACAGTTTAATACCTTGCTAATAATTGGCTTTGATAATCAACTACTGTCACAAACATTGCGCGCTTCAAGGGTAAAAGAGGAAAGTTCTATAGACGGAGTATAAATCAACGCAAAGAGAAAAACAACCGAACAAGAAACTAAAAAACAAAGGTTAACATACTTTTCATGGCAGCCGCAGAACGTTTTCTTTCAGCTTCTCGTTCCGCCTTAATCTTGGCTTCTCTCTCGGCCTTCATCTTCGCTTCACGTTCGGCCCTCATCTTCGCTTCACGTTCGGCCTTTATCGTCGCTTCACGTTCGGCCCTCATCTTCGCTTCCCGTTCGGCCTTCGCGGCAGCTCCTTTCTTTTCATCAGCTTCCTTCTTTTTCTTCATTTCCTTCTTCCACTTCTCTATTTCCCTTTTCCTTTCGGCCGCCTTTCGCTTTTCCTCTCGTTCTTTTTCTCTCCGTTTTCTTTCCTCTTCTTCTCTTTTCCTGCGCTCTCCTTCTTCGTGAGCATCTGCAAATCGGGGATATAGGCAGTTACAAAGAGAAAAAAAACACATCAATATGTGTTTTTAGGATGAAATGATGCAGGATGTATTCCATCTTTAGTAATGCACAACTAAATTCAAAACTAGGAAAATTCATCAGTACAACTGGAAAGAGCATCCAAAACCTGGTAAAAGTAGATGGTTTGGTCAGAAAATATTATCGCGAAATATGGCAAATTGTGTACAAAAACGTATAGGACAAATTGATTTGCTTCTTAAGGCTGTTTTCCACTTACGCGTTTTTCATACGCACGTACACGCACGTAAAAGTCTAAATCCTTATACATGTTACCTTTGAAAAAACTAAGCGAATAAATCGAAGGAACTTAGTTTTCTGCATATTTTAGTATGTATTAGTTGACCCAGATGTTAAATAACAAAAATTTAAAAGCATTTAAAATTTTCCGTACGTGTACGTGCGTATAAAAAACGCGTAAGTGGAAAGCAGCCTTTATACCTTTCAACGATTCAAGTGTCGCCCGGGAGATATCCTCATCATAATCATTCTAAAAAATGATATGCAACTCCAGATATGTCGTACTCTTCCAATGAGTATAGGTTGTCTGTTATTACTCTACCTGACTAACCTAGCTCAGACACTGGGTCTTACTGGAGGTGGTATTGGGATTTGCCACACCCCTAGGTGAATAGCATTATGTAATATTCATAAAATTGATATTATTCGATTGAGAAATGGGCTTGCTGGGCTAAACTACATGTTCGAGCACTTTGATGTATATTGCCTTATAAGTTATCCCATTTAACATTTATCTACAGCCTTGTAAGCCCAGGTACAGTCCTGCGTTCCAATCTCAGACTCAAGTCACCAGGAAGGCTTCACTCAAGATCCTACCTGTTCTACTGTGTTTTCTACAACAGCAGCATCTAATTCTTTGAATTCCCTCTTAAATTTTTCTTTCACTAAAAAAGTTTGTGAAATTATCTCAGATTACACCCAAAGCAGAGGATGGCTTTATACATTCATTGACAAGGTTCCTTTTAAGGTCTAGCCAAACTGGGGTTGTAAATCCCAGTCTGTATAAATGGCTGCTGAATAAAACAGGAAATTTATGCAGTTAAACAATATCTTACTGTTAATTTTCTCATGAAATAAAAGGTGTTTTTTTGTGTCACTTTGCATCAGAGTGCTACGCAGCAAGGTGTCTCTCCACTCCTCGTCTTCCTCGCTTTCATCTGCTGCAGTTTCAATCTAAAAAAGACAATGCAATGATGATCAGATCACCATGTACTCTAAATAGTTGGTATCTGTTGTGATGAAATTACAACTTGGCCTAATACTGATTTATACCTAATTCCAATTTGAAGGTAATGAAACCTCTAGCAAGGAGATGTAATAAACTCTGAACCAATTTCACAATAGACCATTCCCCTTTTAGGTTTCAAGCATGATATCGCAACTCAAAGTTGCTTGATACCTTCAAGCATTGCATGCTTGAAAGCTAAAAGGGGAAAGGTCTATTAGCCTAATTTACCATTAAAATAACATGCAAGCATGCACATGTAAACAAAATTTACTAACCGAATATTTGAAACTTGTCTCCTGTATAATTGAAAATATCACATATATAAGAGAAAAGGTAAAACTATTTAATCAAAATTATGTAATGTACTCCTACATAAAATTTCACCTTTTTATGGCCAGTTGAAGATGTTGATGGTTGACTGGGCTAAGGAACAAATTTTAAACAGAATAAGTGTGGTTGACCAACAGAGAGAAAGATATTTATGAACAAGGGGATTTACTTGGAATTCTTGAAGTGGAATTTGCTCTGCAGGGGAGGCATTTCTTGCCACAGGAGCAAGCCTTGGATCATACCACGTTGTCTGATGTGTCGCATGATCGACAAAATAGCTATAAAGAGAGAAAAACATAGATTGTTGGCTTAAATTTACAGGATGGGATGAACAGGGAAGGGGCAAGACAAAGTGTTGCTTGCCTTGGTGACATATAAACATTAAAGACAATGTCTGATCGGATGTGCACACCAGTCTCCTCATAACAATATGGGGCCAGCAAACTTGAAATTGCCTAGATTTTCCATATGTTTAAGATTTTTTTGGAGACAAGCACTAGCTCATATTCATTTAAAGCATAGCAAACCAGCATTTATATAAGAATCGTTTGGGTTGACTCGATTACAGTTATTATTTTGTTTCCATTTTAAAGAGGATCAAGATACGACATGATTCGATCACTATAAAGACGTTGTAAAAGGAAGTCTTACAGAATATTGGAAATGAAACAGTAAATGGATATGGAAGTTATTTTGTTTAATCTTTATAACATCTTCCACAAGCTACACAAAGCCCGGAGCAATTCTGCCCTGGTCGTAATACATTTCTATGTCCAACTAATAAAACAATTTAACAAATATTTCATGTTGACAAAGACGACAATTGTACAAATATGTAGAATACGTTAAACGGACATCACGGGCAATATTTTATTCTTGAAAGTTTAACAAAACAATAAAGACACATTTCAACTTACTATCTCCGTTCGTTTTCACTCCATCTTGCTTCCCAGCCTGGGGGAAGTTGCGTATTCCAGTTCGTCGCCATTTTTTCACCGTTTAATTAATTTTTTTCAATACACGAGATTGAACCCCAGGAATGTTATACATATGTGCTCTTTACCCGATGGAAACTCTCGTACCAAATGAACGTTTGCATAAAAGGCGGCGAGCCGTTAATAGCATGGATAATAAAATCACGTCTTTTAACTATCCATGCTATTAGTAAGCCGCAATTCTTAATAAATAGACTTAATATGGCGAGTAACTTAATATGTGTACTGTAAGGCTCAAAATGGCCATCTCACAGCTGTCAGATGAGCTGTCTAAAGATTGCAGCCTGCAAAATCCGTTTACAGAAGAAAAATTGAACTTTTTATTTTAACTCATTTACTGGCATTCCTCTTTATAGCGATGCAGAAATGCACAATTGCGAATCAATAATTAGATTTCGGGTTGAAACTTCATAAACACCAATTTCTGCCCAGTGATTGAGCCCAAACTACCAGATTGGGCTAAAGCGATAGACCAAATATAGTCTTTTTACTATGATAGTAAAACTCTGTTGGTTGTATATTTTTTATCTTTGTTTGCGATTAACTTTATGGTTTTTACATGATATACAATAATAACAATATACAATAATTTCTTAATAGCTTTCCGAAAAATACAAGTAGCGCAGCGTTCCATATCCAAATTATTTCCAGAATACTACGTCTACTACTGAATACATACATACATACATACATAAACTTTATTTCAGTGTCAAAATACATAGCTGACCAACGTCTACTAAGTGCATTGGGACACTGTAATAGGCCAATTGTACATCAGTACATGTGAAGAGATTGTATAGTATATAGATACTATATCAGTCATTTCAACGACCCAAGGTCCCCGTTGATCCAGAAATTCGTCATTTAGGTTGCAAAACCGTATTGCGAAGGTTTGCATGCGCTAAAAGCTTCCTTCCTGTCCATTTTGACCAGCCATCTTGCCGTTTAAAGTTGAAAAATACTCGGTATTCTTCGGTGCCAACATCGTCTTTTCAAAGGTTCCTTCTCTTCTCAATCCCTTCTTGATTCCCAGGAAATGCATGAAGGAACGCCGAAATTCCGGACTGACAATCGTGTATATCAGAGGGTTCGCCGAACTGTTTCCTAGTACGCTTATGATGGACGCAAAGAACAGCGTTCTCGTGTAACGAAATCGTGACATGTCCGCGAATACCAGCGCCAGACGAAACGCGGTGAACGGTAGCATGGTCACGAAAAAAACGATGACAACGGGCGTGAGCACGCGCAGTGCCTTCGCGTTCCGTTGTATTTGCCTCGAGAGGTCGCCTCGCAATGCACTTCGGGATGAGGACTTTCTCATTTGTCTGTGGAAACCTGAACTAGCCTTAAGGGAGACTCGTATTCGCATGTAATAATATACAATCAGGGCCAAGGGTATTACGTAGAATAATAGGTTGAGTGTTATGAGGTAAGCAATATTGCTCTTCTGGTCGGGCCAAGCGACATCGCACAATGGGACATTCGGTATTAAACGCATGTAAATCCAGAGGGGAAGAGAGATAATTATGACAGGGATGAGCCATGCGCCTACCAGGATGAAACGCGCTTTGCTCCTTGATAACTGAGAGCCCATTATGTGGACGATTCCTCGGTACCTAGAAAAATATGAAATAAGATAATGGAGCGCGGAGCGATTCAAATAAGTAAAATAAACATAATCAAATCATAATTATCATAATTATCATAATCATCATAATCATCATAATCATCATAATCATCATAATCATCATAATCATCATAATCATCATAATCATCATAATCATCATAATCATCATAATCATCATAATTATCATAATTATCATAATCATCAAATTCATCATAATCATCATAATCATCATAATCATCAACCCACCATCATCGTCATCACAAAAACTACCAGCATTACAAGTATGTACATACCTATGAAACGATATTGCTACAATGCACATGATGGACACACCGTAAAAGGAATCCGATAAAGGGTAGATAACCCGACACATAAACTCCCCAAAAGGCCATTTAAAGTTCCTGATTTCCAGCGCCAATACAAAGGTGTGTGATATAAGCAAAACTCCAATGTCAGCAATGGCTAAATTTTGAATAAATAGATTCGATATGGACTTCTTCATATGGGGATTACGATGAACCGATAGGATAACCAAAACGTTTCCAAACAGTCCAAAAACCACGAAGACACATTGAATTATATAGAATAACACTTCAGCGTAGAAGGGAAAGATGTACTGTTCCGTAAAAGTAAATGAGTTGTTGTTGAAAGGTTTTGCGCTTGGAGGTAATATGGTTGCCAGGCTCGAAGAAGATGTATTGTGGTTGGTCATATTTCCTGGTGAGATCTTTGTGACCGCTTGATAAAATCTTTACAAAAGTTTACAAAAGAAAATATCTATAAGATTTAACTGAATAAGATCCTTCCTAAAGGGTTTTTTATCGAGTCAAACAGGATAGAATTACAGCCCGGTGTTTTCGATAGCCAATCAGACTTTCTCATGCAACAGAAAAGATTTTAAGATGCTTTGATATCAAGTATTGTGACGTCCAAATAGGCCTACCGATTTAAGTTTTCCGTTATTTTCTTCCAAAATCTGAGACCAAGTCTTCGCTGACGATACTATAGAAGGTTCGCGCTGAAATGTTTCGGTGAAGCAGCTTAAAATAACGATTTGTCCTTGTCAATAAATACAATATCTTTCAAAGAACGTTCAGCATAAATTGTAGAAAGATAGATCAGCTTTAAATCTTTCAACAAGGCACCCCGAGATTCTTGATAAGGTCTTGAGAGCAAAGTCAGTCGATATTTTATGTTTTGATTATATTAGCTATTTTGATTAGAGTCCGCCGAACAACAATTTCTCGACAAAATGTTTTTAAACAATCGAGATCGATTGATGAGAGCTGTCTTTACAAGTGAGAAATGGTTTCGCCAAGATTTTGTGTATGTCGACAGCGGAAAGACAGGTCAGTAATCTCCCGCTTCACTCCGCCGCCAAATTCCAATATCACCTGAGGAGTCTTCTTTATCCGCTCTGAATTCCGTGATTATCAGCACCACTTTTAATTTGCCAGCGGATATTTACCGTAGTCTTTCAAGCTTCTTCCAAAGTCCAATAAGGTAAACAATTTTCAATTTCAGGTTGGCCTAAAAAGACCTGAAAAGATACATGAAAAATGTTTTCAAAGTTTAAACATTTTAGTCGCATGTGTCAATAGTGATCCCAGTTTGAACAACTGCAGCTGCATATTTTCTTCGGGAATTGAATATTTTTAAAATTACGACAAACAGGTTTTTTTGATCAATCAGTTAGCCACGTTGTTGATGGCCACCTCTTTAATTTAGACAAGGCTCTATCATTAAAACAAGCATAAAAATTTCTTTCATATACACACATACAAAAACAACTTTCCTACGAAAACATGTCACTTGCATGGCTGTTGGTCCATGTGAATCATTTCAACAAAGCTTTTTCATGAATAACGTCTAAATTTGATAGCAATTTCTAATCTGATTCATCTCATAGAGGTATATATATAGGCGCTTAGTAGTTATATCTTCTTCAACACATGCATGCACTACTTGAGTGAAGTGCCTTTCACAGAATAATGGCCAAATTGGTGAAGATAACGAAATGGTTTCCTATATCGTTACGTTATAGCTTTCTGCATGATCGACACGCAGAGCGTTGCGAGTTTGGACATATGTTTTGAAATTTTGAAGGCATATGTTTTACATGTGATGGCTAAATATTTGGAATAGAAACTGTCAGACAACGAGCAAATTGATTACTCAATATAATAAATATGGTCAATTTCAACGCCAGCCTTTCCGCAATTCTCCTCCCCGTATTTGACCTAAACAAACCAACTTATAATCTTACCGACAGTATATTGGATATTATAGATCTGGCAATTTCATATTGTTTATTCGAAATGACACCAACAAATTTAAACTGGCAGCTATCCCTGATATAGACGAGTATAGATTTTCCTGCCGTATTATGCAGTTGCTATTTCTTCTGACAGATCAAAACGAGCAGATGACGAATGAACCATGGATTTATAATTATGTTTATGGATGTTATCTAATATAACGTTTTTTCTGATGATGAAACATATCATGAGCCATTTAAACATTATTTATACGCTGTTACTTACAAACCGTTAATCTTACCCCCATCGATGTTATTTTAGACTAAATTTAACTCGAAATTGGTGTTAATACGGTCCATAGAATAACACCATCGGGAGTTAAATTAACATATTGCTAATGAAAAGAAACTTTAAAGACCTGTTTACATGGATCGAGTTTTCCCGACTAGGCGAGGTAAAAAGCGCATCCGACATCAACCTGATTGAAAAAATTGGCTTAACCTGATTAGTCTTTCATTATATGCAGTTTTTACCTCGCCTAGCCAGGATAACCCGCTCCATGTAAACAGGCCCTAAACACAACTTAAATTTTCTTACTATGCTCGGAATGACTTTCAACTGCAATCTCGACCTGTGTTGATTAGATTTTACAATAACAAAGAGGAACCTCATACAGGGCCGTAACTAAAATGATAATTGCGGGGGGGGGAATATTCATATATCAGTTCTGCCCGACAGATTTCTATTGTAAACTATTGCACTTACAAAAGAATCCGTCGGGCAGAACTGAATATATGAATAAATAACCCCCCCCCAATTATCGTTCTAGTTACGCCTCTGATCTCATATAGATATAGGCTCAACTGTAAGTCATACGGAGGAAAAACTGTTTGCCCAGGGCATACGCGCATGTCATAAGAGGGAAAACCCTGGGTACGAGGTTGGTGATCTAGCTATATAATAAGATCACCTTATATTGATCCTGCCTAACCAACGGTGAAAAACAGAGAATCCTGAAAGTTTATAGTAAATCGCTTTTTAGTTGAATATTGTATAATCAACAGGGTTTGAGGACGATCTCCTTTTTCGGCAAAACATACGTCATGCAATAACACTTACGTGGGCTTTTCCTTCTGCTATTTTCTCAACGACCAAGCCTCACTTTGGTGTGACGAATGGTGCTGGTCACTGTATCGCCCAATTTTAAATTTGGAGACACGAGCAAGACGGACGCGACTTTCTCAAAAAGTTTCATTTAGGAAAGGTGCCTGCGTTCAAAGTATCTGATGGAACGTGCATTTTTTAAAGCAATGCTATTGCATACAATACGTGGCTTATGCTCGTTTGAGAGATGAAAATGACAAAGATGCAGCATTCATCCAGCAGTTTATTAACTTTGCTGACAATAAAATCTTACCACCAGCTGCAACTTGGGTTTCTATACTACCTATGGAATAATGCAGTACAATAAACACGCCACGGATAAAGCTATTGAAGACATCAAGATATTTAGCGAGGCTTGGTGGTAAGGACGTTAACATAAGGGAAAACCTGCGTAAGGTTATTGCATGGCTATACGTATGAACTGGATAATACGATGCTCATTGTAAACAAATGTTCATGTTTAAACTGAACTCTTGTTGGAATCTCAAACGTTTCTACCTCCAAAGTTCAGTAATAACTTTTCCGTTTTTCCGTCCCTCTTTTTTGTTTTGAACCGAAAAAATTTGCTCAAAGAAGCCCATACAGAGAATTCCTGTCTTGCAAGCAAATGAACCTACAGAAACACGAAACACTAAACTACACCACCAATCCCTGCATGCAGAGGTGACATTAACAATGAACAAGAAGTACAAACACAGCGCGCGGTTTCGGAATAATTCCCCCGACAATTCGCATTCAAAAACGCAGCTAAATTTGCGGGAAAAACTCTGCATGTCTGCGAACATTGCCTTCAAAATGCCACAAATATTTTGCTAGTTTACCTTGATAGATAAAAAAGTCGTTTTTCTGTCGGAAGATTTCAAAAAGAACAACAAATGTCCACAAGCTCAGCTGCCTTGGATGGCCAGTCCTTTCTTGCACGAAACAAGATCGTTTCACTTCATGCTAAGGTCTTTATTCGTGTTCAAAAGGCATCATCTGGTGAGGGAAAACATAATAATGAGCATTTTTCTATTAGCACTTGTCTACAGATCTTACGTTATCTCCTAATTACCGGTCGTTTGAAGCAAAATAATATTTTAAAAATGTTTGCATTTCTCTGCCAACTACAAGCAGATGTGAACATTGTGTTTTTCTACCTCGACGCGTATATATGCGGGAACTAGGTTGACTTCAGGCCAATTTTCTGTGTTCAACCACAGTTAATAAGCGTCCTTTTACACTGAAGTAAAGTAGCGCTGACACATCTTCACTCGTCCCTACCCCTTTCAAATGGTTCTCTTCAACCTAAGGAGCTCTAACTTACGGATCTTTATAGATCAGCCGGGCCCGTCATGGTGTGGGTGTGGCTTTCTCAGGTTGCCTGACCACTAAAATGTGGAGAGTTGTATTTCTTGGACGCGCTTAAACGCACAAACTACTTTATCACACAGGCCCATTTTCGGTCAAAACCACCGGTTTATCGCAAAATAGGCATGGGTCTCAGTACGCCGGTTGAATTAGCCGTGACGGAAAAACGTCAGACCCTAATATCCTTCGATGTTTCCGGCTGCATGTAACGATTTCGATAAGACGCATTCTTAAGTGGATTCTTCGCTAATTTTCCGTTGCATGTGCGTGGAAAGATAACAATTAGTTTGATTTGTACACAAAAGTTTTGATATCAGACAATACGGAGAACTAGGATAAAAAAATCTCAAATGAAGTTCAAGTTGAACTGATTCATGTGGAAAGGATACTTCACTTTAGGCGGGAAAATATTTCGAGTGTGTGCAACTTTCACATCAGTGTTATGAAGTATAACTTGATAGTGGATGTACGTATAGTAATAGCTGGCCAACGGCTTTGCCAAGCGTGGGATTTTGGTGTTCGCTCAACTGATATATATAACTAAAAAAATTGTTATTTTATAATAAAAACAGCTTGGGCTCTATCTAAGTTCGAACACGTAGAAAAGGAATTTCATATAGCTTTTTGGCACTCCCGTATTTTTAAGACTATCTTTATCGCCTGGCGTTCGTTATATTAATCAAATAAGTAGATCACAATCTCCGCATCACGTTTTATGCCTCGGCAATTTTTCCCGACTCGTACTGCATTAGGAAAACACATCTACCGCAAGGAAAGAGCTTATACGTCAGACGAAAGATTGCGCACGTAATGATGCATGTTTTAAAAGGTTTACTGGCAGATAAGAGACTGACGCCCAACGACTAATTTTTGCATCAAAGGTTAAGGACCGGTCATAAAGTTGTGTTATGTAAGGCGAGCGGGTTCTCCGAAACTCCGTCTTTTCAACAAAAAGTAATTTACTTTTCTTCATTCACTTTTTCCTTTTGGATCCCCAAAAGTCTGAAAATTTGTTTCATCTTCTTCACCAAATACACGCGCATAGTTGTTGAACAATCCCTTAAAGCATTCATTATTCATGGCAGCCTCTCAAATGGGAGGGGCAAGAGAGGACTCGGGAGCAGCCCAGTTATAAACTTAACCGATATATATCTATCATGCGTTAAATTTTGTTGAATGTGTAAAAATAAGAATTCAAACAACATAAATTACATAACCGTTTTTTTGGCTAATGCTAATCGATATTGTATGTATCACTGACACCCGGCCTGAGCCATAAAAAACTAACCTTACTGGCCTGATATTGCCGTCATAATGTAAAAGATAACCCATCATTGCAATATTATCCATCAAAGGTGACGTTTATGTTTAGCCTTTTTTCATGCATATTATAGATCATGTTTTCAACTTCTGTTTATGCGAGACACGAGAAATGTAGTACCAATGGGCAATGTCATGCATATAGCCGCGTTGTATCGAAGTAGATCTTTTCCTAACAAAAGAGTCCTGATTTTACCCAAATTAAACTGTCATATTAAGTTGATACAAGTTGACAAAGACTGCTGGTCTGGTTTCATACTTTCATATATGCATAGCAGTTTGTTTTTGCAATCACGATGGCGCCTTTCGAGCCCTCCGCCCCTGATATTAATTTAGTTCCTGCCACCCCATACAGGGAAATCGTAGATACGCAAGTAACCTCAAGTATGCCTCCTCACTTCTGATAAGACTTCCATTAATCACTCGTACGTCTAAAATATGACGGCATCAAGAATTATCAGAAATGGGATCAGACCGAAGGCTTTCTCATTAATATGGGTTATTAGGAATCTCGTAGTATTTATAAGAATTGACATATTTATAAGAATTGACGTAATTATAAGAATTGATAGGAACTTTGTGTCCGAAAATGTCGTATTCTTGGAAATATCACAGCTGGCTAAATCAGTTTTTACCGCACGATTCAAAATCTTAAAGCTTGGGTGTATCGAAAAGGCGAATGCATCGGATATTAGCGAATTGGAAACTCACTAGCTCTCGTCAAAAAATAGATTCATTCTCTTGTCGTTTTTAACACGTGCACTTTTTGACAGCATTATCAGTTTCTGTAGAATAACACACAAAATATGCCCATCGCGCATGATAGTTTTATCGGCTAACACATGGCATACGTTTTGCGTTTTTACATGTGTTTAACATGTGATGCTTTTATAAGGATGGGAAGAACATTTTTTTTGGGGGGGAAAGGGGGACTATATTGATCTAATGATATCTCAACAATTATGGCACAAGCCTGTATAACAGGTGGCGTAGAAATACTGAAAAGTTTTCAGTCAGTTAAACGTATAAGTTGCGCAGATTTCAAACAGTACCCATCACCCGACCTATAGGTACAATGCCTGCCCGATGGACCGCGCTCTTCCCCACCGGACCACGTTTTCCGCGGTCGTACACCATGCATACTTCACCCCGCCATCAAAAGTAATAAAGTTACGCTCGAAATACGCCTTGGATACGGTAACAACTAAATTTTCAATGAAAATGCTATTGATTTAAGCCATTTTGCACGTCGACGCAGTTCCAAACGCTATGCATCGTCGGAACTTTTGTAGCTCAATATTGGAGTATAATTAGTTTTTTCAAAGCAATTCACAGCACCACTGTGTCGCCTACGCATAATGAATGACAAGCATGTCCACAATATTCTCAGTGTAGCCTTGTCGGTTATGAAAAGGTCGATGTCTTTTTAAATTTAAAACTGTGTCACTTTGGTTGGTTTCCACTTTGAAAATGTCCTCCGAAACGGGCCGGATAGAAAAACCACCGGGCAGGACCGGGTGATAACCATATTGACGCAGATGGGCCAAGCCGCTCAGAGCTCCGACCTAAAGATAGGCCCTTTTCTTTGGACACAACGGTATAAGTTTGCAACCGCGGTATCGACTGGATAGTTTTAAATATAGGTATATTTAGGAGAAACAGGCAAAATTTTAGTCCAGACATTTCCACAAGCTTCACGTCAACGGCGTATTAATCTGGTCGTGGTGTTAACGCCAATAATTTTAGTTAACTTGCTGATAAAAATTATAAACCTATGGTGCATGAAAAAGCTCTCTCCTCGGTGTAATGTATATTCAGGATAATTCGACTTTTGTAGTTTTGCGTGAGCGAAAATCATTCATTGATAGGACGAATAGTATCTAAATACAGCCGGTGAAATTCAAAAGCAGTCAACTTTGAATTAATATCCAAAACTAGTCTCCCAATTAGTTAATAAGAGTTTCTCAGATGGCTCGCCAGCGGTTTTTGTTGTCATGTAAACAGTTCAAGACTTCAAGAAGACAGGGTACTTAACATTATTTCTTTATACCATATTAAAAAAGGCATTAAAGTACTTCCCTTACAGTAATATCGTCTTATCTCAAGTATATTAAACGGCCATATGATGTTTTTTTGATTGAAGTTTAAAAGCGCCACAACAGTAGAAAATGAATTGCGAGTTTCTGTAATGAGTGGGTGAGTGGGTGAGAGTTGCACCCTTAATAAAAGCTCTCACCCCCTCATCGCGGAAACTCGCAAACTCGTAATTTCGTCCAATCACAATGCTTGATGCAAACAATCGCAGCGAGCTTGTGAATTGACTTTGCGACGAGTGGAGTACAAAAGCCTTTATTATACTCTGAGACAGGCTCTTCTTCCAACTCTTCTTCGAATCAGAGAAGAGAGAATCCATGTTGGTCACATAAACACAATAGCAGCATTATACATGCATAGATTTGATAAGGAATCACAAAACGATGAATCCCCTTTTAATGTGCATTAGACTCAAGAGACGCCAAACAAAATATATACAAACCGAAGCGCAATAACAATACAGACTATAAAGTGACATCAATACCGAATATGGAGAATACAGAATAAATTGCGCGTATGAATTCGGCAAAGTTCACCAGCACTGCTGGTGTTAATATATAAAGCTGCATGCACGAATATAAGGCTCACCGTTTACGAAGATAAAGTTTTAGAAACTTTCGAAGAACGTCGGCGGATATGAAGCACTTTAGTAGTCCTTTTTAATTTCAAGCGTCGCTCTGTCGGTTCTTTAATACCAGTGTGTTGAAATGAAGGCCTTTCTCCTGCTATACCGATAGTCTTTTCAGTAAAAAGTCTCCTAAGGGAAGCGGTTGCGACACAGCAGTTATTCCAGCGATCCTAAAACGTCAAATGCAAAGGGAAAGTCAACAATCGTACAATAGTCATTATCAGATATGAATTACGGACGTTAATTGCTTTCTGCCCCTTTCTCAATAAAAACACAAAAAATCTGTGTGGTATGCCCGTGCAGGTCGCTTAAGATCACACGTCACATTCGTATGCAAGCGGGGTTTCCATATGCACCTCTATAAAACAATAAAGAAGGGAAGTTGCGGCTCCTTTTATTCGGGAAGGTAAAATAAGGTTGCTTGGAAGCCATATTATTACACCCGAACCTCTTCGTTGGCAAAGCAACAGTTTTATGGCCATAATTTGTTGTTTACTTTGCCCAAAAGTAAACCTTGTCCTTGATTAAATGTGGGACTCTTCAGTATATCTTCTACGTAAACCAAATGAGTTCGGATAATGTGTGTTTAGGCATTGCAAATACGATGCGTTATATAGGTTTTTGAATGCACCAGCCGTAAACGCTGTTGGAAACTTAGAGTCTTGGATTGCTTTCCGACTGCGAGACTTTCTAGGATAATTCCTTTCTCGTTAATTCGTAGGGCAAACAAAACTAAAATGAAAATTTGTGGTTTTTCCTGTGGTTCACGCGCGACCGCAAACATCGAGATAATTTTTGAATGACAAGCAACCTCTGAAAATATTGACAATTTGTCGAGCTACAAAGAAGTCAAGAAGACGTGGTCGTCCACAGGTTTTACTGAAAACGTTTTGACTATTGGCGAGATCCTCTATATTTAAAAACCATTTGCGGCTCATATTCATATACATGAATATGTGTTTTACGAAATTATATCCTTGAAATCTTTTTTATAGACTATACCATCGTCAATACACATAGTCAAAAGGAATTCACGGCGATATGGTGCAAGATTTCGGAATTTTAATCGAGTTTTGTGATGCCCCGACACCACGCGGAGATTAATTATTCCCCCCCCCCTTTTTCTCCTTCGACATCAGACAAAATATTCTGAATACAAGAAAAGCAAACGATTGCTGATCACTTTTTTGCGCCACAGAAAATAGGACGAATCACAAATGTACAACACAAGAATGGCCGATTTCGAAATCTAATCGTATGGGAAGACTTTGCATGACGGCACAGCCGGTTAGAATATATGACATCACACGATATATATCTGATCTAGGAACAGCTAGCACAATCTGATGATAAAAAAACATACCATGACGATTATGTGAAATTCACAAAGTAGGCTAGATCAACGTCCATCAGAGATAAACTGAGGAAAATCATCATCATTCTGTACTTACGCTATAAAGCTTTCAACTTTCAAGCCTTTCCGTTCAGCGCAAAACAAACATACATGCCATCAAATATCACGTCCAATACATCACAGTTTGTTTTCATTAAAAACTTCAAGATCGATTGAAAAACCTTTCTCCTCGTCTACAGGGTGTTAAATTTAATAAATTTAATTTGTAGACCTGTGGTTTGTCATCTAATTTCTTAAAACTGACGAATGCAAACTCGAAATCTAGAAGAACAACAACTTTTTGTGCGAGCGATGAATTCAAATATCAAATTCCCAGCTTATCTTGAAGATTATGGTTGCACAGTTTGTACGAATAAACCGACTGCAGACTGAGAACTATGGAAATACAAAACGTCCATAAATCATTTTGTCGGCCTAAAACAACTACGCACTTAATTTTTGACGTGTTAATGTGTACATTATAGCAAAATTTTTGTATACACAAACATTTTATTAAATCCAAACGTTTTCACTTTGCCGCGTAAAAGAGAGGCTTCGTACGGCAAGGAAAGTGTGGGAAACAGTAAAGCTGTATTATAGCCAGTAATTATTTGATCTTTTGAAGTTTGATTAATGAGGGTTTCAGCAGCTTTTCACCCGCCGACTTGTAATTGCTTTTCTATTCACTTAAGACTAATTTTTTTAGCATGTCGGTCTGGAGAGAATGATTAAGACCAATATAAGCGAAATCAAAGATGCGCGACGCCGTGTGTGGATGATCTGCGTCCTTGACTGCAAGGTCTGACGCAGTGAATCCGCCAAAAAGGTTGGAATACACAATAGTTCTCTTAGTTGTGGAGTTATATACAAGAGGCGACTATGCAAGCATTTTCCATAGAAAAGAACCTTGACTAAAATAACTTAATCCAACACAGGATAGTTGGAATTGTATAGCTTTGAACTATATCAGTTCGGAAACTATTCCAGTCATGAGCTTAGTGAATGAACACCTCGAACAGACTATAACTTTCGTGCACAAAATAAATCCTGCTTTTCATTTTGTCGTAATCAGTGTCGCAAATCATTTTCACCGATGAAAAATAGTCCGGTTGTAAATTTGCCCTTATTTCCTGATTCTCAATCAGCGATGTAGACTGCACACATGCACGTATATAGAAATATTCTATAACATCAACCACACCTCACGTGTTCACGACTGAATGGAAGCCAGGGAACTGTTTGAGTACTAAAGCTGTTGGTCTAAATTGTTTAGATGAGTTGTTTCAGACTGTACATGAGGGGCCGGTTGTGTGACTACAAGAGGAATTATACCTGAACACTCAACAAAGAATAATTTTATCACTGGAAAGTATATCAGCATACTACACAATGCGTTCACGAACATATTCCAATTGATAAACTGATTTATCTTACACATGAGATGAAGACAAATTAAGTTTCTTGCATGTGTCTTCCGGAATTAGAATGGAACTGTTAGGATACAAAAGTTCGCTTTAAAATTAAGTGCGTCTAGTTTCGAATTGTATACTCAGTATTCTGAAGATTTCTTGTCAATTGGAATAATGAATCATTATCTTTATGATAAAAAGACACTAAATGAATGGGAGTAAACTATCCAAGAGCACCTGCGTGGCTCTTTAAATCTATGTGCCATCATTGTCTTTGGCTCTGCTGTTAATGCAAGTTTTGGGTCATGCAGGAGGGCGTCCCAACAGCAATACTGAAATTGTTAGAATTAACAGTGAATTGCGCATACGATCCAACTAAGAGGAATTTCGATTCTAATCAAAATAGGATCCAATCTATCCGAGATTAAATCCATGTCCGTTTTCAAAGCAGATACGAATCTGGTCAGATAAAAAAGGCGCCTCGGGTTCAATTCTGTTTCAGCAAACCCGTTTTCCAGTCTCTTACCTGAATCCTGAATATATTTCAGCTTCTTTCCTCAGAATCTCAGATTTCTTCTTTCGTCTCAACACCAGATTTCGCCGTCAAAAATCGGTCGCTGAACAAGATGATAAATATATGAGTCACACGTATTATTAGCTTACGCACACGCGATGTTTGTTTAGGTAGGAATAAATGGCAATATTTTCCCCGTTTATTAGAAGCTCCGTAGCAGGCAAACGACAATGTTGACAGATGTGACATCGAGGCAGGATTGATTATTATAGTCAATCCTGTGCACTAATTAGAAACGTCAATAATTAATGTTCAGCCTTAACTCTCATTACAAAAGCGAAATGAAAAACCCGAGTTCATAACCACGGTCCTAATTTGTGGTGAGCTTTTTATGCTTAAAAACCATTCCTGTTCTGTTCGACAATTATCATTGTTATATAGATGCTGTGTATTTTAAATGTGATTGGTTCATTCGTAGTCACATGACTTTAAATAAATACAATGTTTCCCGCCAGGGAAACAAGTGAAAAATCGTTGCCCGCTTCTTGTCATAACAAAGTAAAGTGGTTTTTTCAATGAAATTGTTGTGTAACATGTATGTTTTTGTTCCTATATAACAAAGCACTTAATGTACACTACCTCGGGAAATAGTGAGTTTTGTTTTCCCTCGAGCCTCAATGTTTCGCTATTTCCCTCGGAAGCACATATGACTATCATGACATGCAGATATTGCTCACAAACGTGTTTGCATTTGTTGTTAGGAATGGCATAGATGTTGAGGTATTCACATGGGTATTTGTGGAAGTGTACTTCAGAATCTATTGTCGAGGAAACTATGTGTTACCATGTGCATGATGATAACCAGTTGTATGGATAATTATGGAACTAAAATTTTTGTCAATGATATTCGTTACGGAATAGCTCGTTAGTTTTTGAGGCACCGGTTACACTGTGCAACTTTCCTTGTAACTTATACAATTATATGCAATTCTACTTCTGAGGCAAGTTGAGAAATGCTAACATTTCTTACGATCTGCTAACGTTTTCTCAGCATTTCGAACACTCTTTGCAAATTAACATCCCTCAAAATAATATTGGAATTGCAAGTTGCAAGTTACAAGGAAAATAGACCTTTTTCATAATGACGTCAAGCGCGGAAAGACTGATCTTACACGAAGTTTAATTAGCTCGATAATTTTGTGGAGCCAATCAAATTTCATGTAACATCAGACTTTCCGCGTTTGACGTCATTATAAGAAAGGTCTATTGCATAGTGTATACAACACCGCCTTTGGGCCCTGCCTTAATTATTATGGTAAAATACACAACTTCTCCGATATAAATTTAACGCAGTATGCCGTCCGAAGATAGAATAGTAAACACAGCAGTTTGCCGACGCCCCGTACGATTAGTAGATTTGTAACTTGTAAGTACGCGCGGGGACTCTGGGATCCCCTCTGAGTTTTAATAGCGCAGTCAGTTGAAGTATCAATGTCGTTCCCTAAAATTTATACCTTTGTTTCCTCGTGGGCTCGGGGAACGAGATTGATGAAAGTATTGGTTATACCAGGGCCACAGGATTGGGCAATGGGAACTATTTTCCACTACATATAGCGGCTTTATTCCACCATTTCAAAGCGTTCATTACAAAACAGACATTACATTTTTAATAACGAACTAAACGTGCTCTTTGGATATAATACTCAGGAACATATGATCAGTGAATGATTGTCAACTACAGTTTTTCTCAATTTTATTGCAATTCTAAGCACAGTAATTCGCACATTACAAAGTTGAATGCATTAGAGACTTCATAATGATAGAGTTTTAACATCAGGCAAAACCATCTGCCGTGGCAGTTTATAGCAAGGCCTTCATCAACTTAGAATTATAATAGATGCACTTATCAAACTAAAGCCATATATATTCTCATCTATTCTATATAATACCGTATAGATTATCGTAGTGGATAATTGAAGTTATATCTAAGATCTATGACAAATCAATACTATTATTATCACTTCGGCAATGAGGAGTTTTATCGAGGATTTTAAGAAGACTATGGTAAAAAAATTTCCCCATTAATCAAGGAGAAACTAGCTCAACAAACCCGCTTTTGAACCAGGATGCATGAAGGAAGTATTTTTGACGTTTAACGAGAGTGAGCTAGCAAGAAACTTGTCAAACGCGAGCCTTTAGCATTTCATTGTAATAGTTTATGGTCGAAGACCTGAACAAAGACTAGCGATTAAAGTGTAAATGATAATTTTATTCGTCGAGTCGCTGTAAATGGATGAAAATTTCAATTATTTTGGAAATTAAAATTCGCGTTTTGTTCCACCATGTTATATAGCCGCGGTTCTGAGGAAATATTGTTCACGAGGAGAATAAAAGGAAACTCAGCTCGTCTTGAAGCAAAAACAAAGTGAAACAATCGCGTAATATTTATCCGAGATGCGTAAAGAGATGTAGCTAGCTAACTCACGCACGAGAAGTCGTCATCATCTATATATGCAGAGTAAATATAACCAGCAAATCGTCTCATAGGACCTAAATTCGATGCTTCGACTTTTGAGCTATCGAAAGACGAAGACAACATAGCGTACAGAACACGTCAGTTACAATTCGTGTGTTTAGAGTTACGAACAGCGAAGCATGTCAAGCTGCTATGCATATCGGCAGAACTTGTTATAACGGATGGTTTCTATACATGACAACACGAGTAAGGGTACATGACAAGTATACTGTATGACATATACCATGCATTGAATTGAAGGCTTGTACATCGACCATATATCTATCCATACATATGAAATTACTAGAAACTACACGTTTTTTACAAGAGAAACCTAAGCAACATGCATCTGTCCAAATCTTGATGCGGAAATTTGTCGAGTGAGTGTACAAACATTAGCGTACATATATTTGACTAAACCAGCAGATTAACCGAATTACGAACAAAAATCAAAATAAACATGATTTTCAAACACTCTATAGCGGAATAAACTTACCCAAAAATGATTTCGTGCATACAGCTACATCGCCAACTCCACGGACACACTCTTGTAGCAAAGAAAACAGAAGGAAAACACCTGGTCGTATTACAACAAGCAGTCAATTAAAACACAATAACACCTTTTATATGAACGTAGGACTTCCTTTAACTTGGATTCCCATTGGGTATCCTTCCTGAATTTATGCGCAACAGACTGGAGAGTGATGCATCATTCATAGTCATCGCTCACGATAAGGATACATAACATCAACTGTTTTTAAAAACACATTCACGGCTATACAGTGAGTTCAAGGGAAATCATTTCGGAAAAAGTAGACGATGATATACCATTAAGAGCGCAGGAGTTAGGCCATGCTGATTTTAACGCAAGCCGCAATTTTAAATTTAAAGGCATTATACTTCACCATCTCATGAACGAAAGCGGAAATCGATGTGCTGACGAGCCGAAAGAACGTATCGCTCTATAATATATTTATCATTTATACAGGGTGAGTCAGAAAAAAGTCCCCTCTATTGAAATCAAGCCTTTGTTAGAATCTGATTGCCTTAATATTATGATAAACCCAATTGAAAGCAAGACGCTTTATTTGAATGCCTCAACCTAATAACTATGCTATTTACACACTACTGCGTTGATCATGCATTCAAATCAACAAAGGCTTCATTTCAATAGGGGGACTTTTTTTTGACTCACCCTGTAGACATGGAATCAGGGGAATTCAATGAAATATTAACATTGAGATAAATAAATAATTGGTTTATTGATCTCAATGTCAATGAATATTACCCTGAAATGAGAGCATACCCGAGGGACTTTGCCCGCGGGGAATACATATACGAACGGATAATCTTATATTCGTTATTTGCCCGACTATATACAGGGTGTCTCAAAAAAACCGCAACACTTAAATATGCAAGACATCAATACAGCTCTAAAGCACAATAGATAAGCACCTCTGGGAATTGAAAATGGCTCTTAATCCTTCATTTAAAAAGCTAAAAGTCATTTTAGCTGAACTGTGGTGCAAACCCGAACAATATTAATATTCTTGCATATTTAAGTGGTTGCGTTTTTTTCTAGACACCCTGTATACAGTACAGGGTATCTCAAAACAACCGCAACCACTTAAATATGCAAGAACATTAATACAGCTCTAAAGCGCAATAGATAAGCACTTCTGGGAATTGAAAATGGCTCTTAATCCTTCATTTAAAATGCTAAAAGTCATTTTAGCTGAGCTATGATGCAGCTGACAACAGAACAAAAAGTTTTCGTTGTTTTTACGTTGTAAACGTTATAAATTACGTTATATTGCCATTAGAACAATATTAATATTCTTGCATATTTAAGCGTTGCGTTTTTTTGACACACCCTGTATATGAATATAACAAGCTCCCCCCCCCAACTAAGCGGTCTAACTACGGACCAGATTTACTAAGTGTGAGGCTGTCTTACTATAAGTGTGCAAACTAAACATCAATTTGGAAGATATCACGAGAGATTCCTTCATGTTTTCTGGCCTGCTTGCACTCGTCCATCAATTCCTGTATGTCCTTCTTCATGTCCAGCGGTTTGAAGGACGGCTCGTATCGTTTTTTGGGACGTCCTCGATGGTCGATCAGAAATTTCGCGAAGTTCCACGTGATGTCTGTGGTGCGAATTGGAGAGAAGTAAAAACCGCTCGGATCGCCGATCATGGTGGAAGGATTTGGACACAGAGACTATAAGAGATAAGGTCATAGGTTTAAACGCAATTCTAGTTCAGCATTACTTTGTCGACTAAACACCAAATACTGCGGTGTCGAGGGCACCTAATAAGACGATTATTTCCGTGCTTGATATATTGAAATTAGCATACTTCCTTCACCTATATCGGCATGCAAAGTCCAGAGGCAATTCTCCTTCCTATCATCTTCCTGTACTAAACACTTCTAGTGCGAAAAAATTTGTAACCTTCGCAATAAAGATCAAAGTTTAATGACAAGCGGACTTCGTTCCACAATATGTGGAATTGAGCCTGAGGTCTCTATTTGAAACAGCCAAGAGGAAACGTGATGTAAGGGGCACATACCTTAAGCCAGGCGAAGAGTTCGTCTTCATTCTTCCCATTGACATCACGTTTTGCCAACAAATCCAACTTCGGCTTGAAGCCGTGACCTGGCCTCACATACTCTATTGTATGCACTATTTCAATTCCTACGCCAGGCTCTTGCAGACCAAACTGATTACACGGGGCTCCGTAGATTTTCAAAGGACACACGGCGTCGTCGAATTCGTCAAGTAATGCATTCATTTGGTGATACTGTGGTACGGTAAAGCCTCAAAACGACGCGACGTTCGTGATGATGACGATTTGATCTGCATTTTGCGAGAACGAGATGTTCCTATCTCCCAGAAGTGACTGATCTTTGAACTCGTGGAGCGTGCGCTTTCCTCTTGAGCAAGTCGAGACCAGACCATCTTTACAAGCATTGCTCGTCAAAGCAAACAAAATTGTAGCGAATACTATAGACGCAAAGCATCTATGAAGCATCTTCATTCTTCACTACATAAACGGCAACGTGTCGTCAACTGATGACAACCACACACAAGACGCTTGGAATCACAGAGCACCCTAACACACAACAGCCTGACCCGTTCGTCGCTGAACAAAGACACGTCTATACGCTTTATACAAAGATCTGCTTACTTATTAAACAGGTGTCATTTTCTGTTAGATATAGCCGTATAGTCATAGATATTTGAGGTATGTGTAGATTAGGAAATAACTCCATTGATTGACGACATTGTTGACTGAGTCATATCATATGGTCATATCAAGCTTTATCTGCCCGCAGCATGCATGTACATCGATACAAACTGACACGAGAACTTGTAGTTTTTGTTCACCAAAATTTTTAAACGATTATTGCAAATATTCATGAAGTAAACGACTTCGCAGACATGAAGAAAGAATGTTTTTAAATGCTTTATTGCTCTTGTAAATATATCCTGTAAAACCAGACGCGACTTGAGAGGTTTCATAACCTTTTGACTAAGATTTCAGATTTCTGTCAGCGAAAGAGCATTAATTTGACATGTTTCCGCTAGAGACAAACATTTCTTGCCGACAAAAATAGCACAACATTGAGAACTGTTCTCACTGATTTTAAATTCGCAAAAGAGGTTTTTCATTGACAGTCATTGACACTTGATTCTGTTGATTGGCAGGTATTGAAACGAGCTAGCCGAGAAGACCTAAACCCAAATCAGAATCCAGAGACACATTTTCGTCTTCAGATCTGCCAGTGATGCATGCTTTGTAGAAACTAGAAAATCCATCAGTACATTACAGCATAAATCAACGAATACTAATTATACTATGACAATATGCATGGCCCTTCTTGAATTGATGTAATTTTAAGCAACTTTACTATCGCACATTATAAAGTTGAATGCATTAAAGACTTTATAATGATATAGTTTTTACATCAGGCCAAACCATCTGATACAGCAGTTTATAGTGAGGCCTTCATCTGCTTAGAATTAACAGCAATGACAAGCTTTATGTATATACAATAGTTATTGTCTCGAAAGCCTAGGCAAATTAGAAATTTGAAGCTCGAAACTTCGAATGTTTGCCATGTTTTTAAAGGTGAAAGGAAGAAACCAGTTTCCGCTACGGGAATTATACCAGGGAAACATAATTAACGTTGAAACGAAACATTTTCCTCCAATGAAGCTAATTAATTTTGTTTCGACGACAATCACACTTTGCAAATGTTTGCGCAAGATGGCTTCCTTGTGACTTCAGAACTAGAAAACATTATTACAATAGCTACAAGATACTATCAGCATCCTTCATTCTTCAAGATTCACTCTTTTGATTTCCTATATCTATATCTTCTTTTTTTATCATCCATTGTCGGTTATCAACGAAGAGAATCCTTTCACCAACAGTTATGCCCCAAAAGAACACCAACAATGGATGGCCGGATATCGCAGATGTATTATGAGAGCCTTGTGTGATAACATCCATTGTAATCTTTTAAACAAAGCATGTTATTTGTCACATTTGGACTTTCAATCCTAGAGAAAACTATTGTACCTCGTTAGAACGAAAAGTACATAGCATACCAACAGTTTAATACGTTTCATCTTGGAAAACGTCTTCAAATACAACTTTCTGTTTTTTCCCATTCTTACATTCGTCCACCAACTTCTGTATATCTTGTTTCATGTCCCGTGGAAGGAACAGAGGTGTGTATCGTTTTCTAGGGCGACCTTTATGGTCGATCAAAAATTTCTCAAAGTTCCATTTTATGTCCGTGGTACGAATCGGAGTGTAGAAAAGTTTGTCTCGTTCCCCAATTAGGTTGGAAGGATTTCGACAGAGGGACTGGAAAAAAAGAAGGTATGATATATAATAATTGGCACCATGTAGTTGACTGACTGTTTTACCCTTTTGTAGTATGTTCTTTTATATGAAAGCGCCTTTTCCCTGGACTGAAATTATCTCCTATTATACGCCTGGCCTGACTAACTTGGGTAATACATTGTCAATTCAGACTCGTTTTAGAGAACATTCCCCCACCCCCCCAAAGAGATTGTTATCCATGCGGTCAAATTTGACCCCAGAACGATTTTTTGCGGTCGTTCTGAAGCTTTTTAATTTATAGCATTTTATGTTTTTTTGATTGAGTTCAGATGGCAAAGTGAAGGATTATATATGCACCTCGCATCTAAAATACAGTTTTATACGATCCTTTCAAACCCTGTGTAGTTCTCATGAACCGGATCTAATGCTAATGAGCAAATTGTGTTTACAAGGATTCGCGCATTAAGCTCGGTGGCGCGTATTATGTGGTATTACCAGTAGATTGCATTTTAATCTTTATAACTTTCAATTCACCGAATGAGTTATTATTATTCATTACTATTTTCAGAGTAAGGTCCAAAGAAGCTCTCAAAGGCTATACGGAGCATTACCGACCCAAAACGTAAGCTTTTAGACTTTACCTTAAGCCAGGTGAAAAGTGAATCTTCGTTCTTGCCATTCACTTTCCGTTTCACCAGCAGATCCATCTTCGTCTTAAAGCCATTACCTGGCCTTACATACTCGATTGAATTGAAAATCTCGTTTCCCACGCCAGGCTCCTGCATTCCAAATTGATTACACGGAACTCCGTAGACTTTCAACGGACACAGAGGTGTGTTGAACTCGTCGATTAATGCATTCATTTGGTAATATTGTTCGGCGGTTAAATCTCAAAACGTCGCGACGTTTGTGATGATCACCACTTGTCCTGCGTTTTGCGAAAAAGATATGCTTTTTCCATCCTTAAGTAGCTGGTCACTGAAATCGTGAAACGTCCGTTTTCCGGACGCTGTTGTTGAGCAATTCGATACAACGCCATCTTGGCTGGTAGCCATCGTCATCGATAACGCACATAAAAATCGTTTGCAGTTAGTAAGGACACTATAGAGTTAAGTGAAACCATTTTCGACACCACGAAAGGAGCCTTACCTCAAAAGCCAACTTTAACTAAACTGCATGTAGTGAAGTTTACAATCCCACCATTAAAACACGGTGCCAAATATCGCAGAAGAATGACACGTATATATATTTATACGCTAGACTCAGCAGTCTATATTATAAAACGGTTCAGTAATTTCTTTGTTCGCCTTGCCGTTTTTACGCCGATATAAAAAAGATCACCGCGTAAAATCAACCGTTTTTAATCGACTTCAAATATTTAGTGGGACAAATTAGATTTTTTCGTTTAAACAAGCGGAGATAATTAAGTACATGCGAGTGTCTGGCCACATTTCTGATTACAAATAATGTAAACATATTTAGGTGATCTACCATATGATCAATTCATCATAGCTTTGCACTTGTATGCGACTTTAGAATGGTCGAAAAAATCACATAAACTGAGTTTTGGGTAAAAACTTCAATTTAAAAGAGCTCAAGTCTTATAACGAGTATTTGACAATTTGTTTTGATAGAAATCAGCTAACTTCGTAAATATAAACAACCAACTATTGTCCGATGTTGGTTTCAGCTCTTTCATGACTTCGCTTCGCTTACTCCGACAATGCAGGTGCCAGGTAGAACCTGCCTAAAGTTTACTTCCATCAGATATTTTAAACAGGTCAGGTATTGATCAGTAGGGTTAAAGACATCACGAGCGTTGAAAAGTTGGAGAAGTCGATTTGGCAAAAAATCCTTCTTGAGGATTCATCTGAAAGGCAGAGGAGGAAGGGATTTACCAAAAAGTTGCCCCCTAGACCTGGCCTGCCTGCATGAAACAAATCCCTTCGAGTTATAAACTACAATTTTGTTGCAAATAGTTAAGACACACATACAACAAAAAATCGTTGTTTTAATGAAATTCTAAGCACAGTAACTCGCACATTACAAAGTTGAATGCATATAAGACTTCATAACGATAAAGTTTTAACATCAGGCAAAACTATCTGCTGTGGCAGTTTATAGCAAGGCCTTCATCAACTTAGAAATATCAGTTATTTAACGTTATTAAAATTCAATGTATTTAGGCTGTAAAGATCAATTAAAACTTACTGCATGCATAGTTTCATCTTTCCACCAGGCAAGATTTTGCGTTGGGTTGGAATTTTCTCTGTTTGTGAATTAATGCTAAAATACTAAAAAAAACTAATCTCAAAAAGACAAAGAAATAGACATACACTTCCCGCCTACAACACCCCAAACGACTTAAATTCACAATAACACACGCTAGATCTAATAGAATTTGACCAGTATGGTCGTCTCACAAACTCTCCGGTTTTGAAAGCCAAAACCGCGTCTGGATATTGAAAATTTTAATGAAATGGCTTCTGCGCGAGGAAATGGCGCGCTTTGCTCCTCTTACATTCGTTCATCAATTCCTGGACATCTTCCTTGAGGTTCATGGGCTGAAATCTCGGCGGATAACGCTTTCTAGGGTTACCATGGTGGTCGATCAGGAATTTTTCGAAATTCCACGTGATGTCAGTGGTGCGAATGGGAGAGAAGAAGAGATTGCTTGGGTCGCCAATCAGGGTGGTAGGATTTGGACACAAGGACTATCAGCAAATGTAGAAACTATATTAGTTAGCATCAAGGACAAGGGCCAACATTACCCGGCATGTTTCAGACTTTACTTCCACCACCCTACCCTCTACCGCGCTAGAGAACATTCCGTATCACAATCAATTTGATTAAAAAGCATCAAATTGTTTTCCGCACGGTACATCCACCATGTCAACAAAGGTTTCTTAAAAATTTCCCCACCTCAAATACGAAGCCGTTTCTTGTGAAGTCGCAAGCACAAGTATAGAGGAAAAACTTGGCCTTATTTTTTATAACTGTACGAAATACAGGCCTCACCTTCAGCCATGTAAAAAGCTTATCTTCTTTCTCTCCGTTAACATCCCGTTTGACCAACAGAGAAAGCCTCGGAATAAAGCCATAACCTGGCCTTACATATCTCACTGAATTCAAAATTTCAATTCCAACTCCAGGCTCCTGTAATCCGAACTGATTACACGGAACACCGTAGATTTTGAAAGGACACGGAGCATCCTTAAACTCATCGATTAATGCATTCATTTGGTGATACTGTTGTACGGTTAGGCCTCAAAATGACGCCACGTTTGCGACGAGCACAATTTGGCCGGCATTCTGCGAGTACGAAAAGTTTTTTCCTCCGACAAGAAACTGATCATCGAAGTCGTAAAGCGTCTGATCACCCGTGAGACAAGTCGAGGACGCGACGTCTTCGCTTCCCGAAAAAGCACACAAAAAATTGGCGCTTAACACAGTTGCGATGTAAGTGAGTGGAACCATCTTCGCTTGACCCAACCAGAAGCGAATAAGGATAGAAGTGAACCGCAGAACATAAGGAAACTTGTTTAACAACACATAAAATTAATGCAAATTTTTGCCTACCAATGCTCGAGTAGGCTTTTGTCTTTGTTAAAATACAAGTGGAACTAATGAGAGGTAACTATATGCTCTCACAACTCCCACGACGGGCTCAAAGATCTACAGGGTGTCCCCAAATAAACAAAAACTTTTGAAATCACTCATTGTCAAAATTTGAATGCCGTGTTCACGAATTTCAGCCCGTGGGATTTAATGCAACTTATAAAATGCTAAATGCTTTGTGTTGCTAGAGAAAGGGGACATGTCGAAGGTCATGGTCCTTGAGATGCACACTTAAATATTGTTATCCGTATTTGTAAATATTGTTAATAAATACCATTTTTGCGAACAAGCAAATTTTACTGCATCATATGCATGCATAAAAATGAGTATGGTAAACATTTATACATCTGTGGGTCCCAACAGAGTGCTTAGGCATTCAAACTCTATCTATAGCATTGTTATGGGTGATTTCAATAGTTTCCGGTTTTTTTGGGACACCCTGTATAAGTGTCTTCGTGATCGTCAAGGCTACGTTCATGCAAGTAAAGAATCTGCATGGCGATTTTTCCGCATATACTGTGAAGCCAGGCCCACACTGGTGAACGTATCCGCACATGCATGCACATGTCCGTGTCCCTGTGACAATTGTCACCCACACAATGTTCATAGTCTGCAGGGAGTATGGTGTGCACCACAGCGTCGTAAAAATGAACACGAATGACAAAATACAGGGTGTATAAAAAAAAACTGCAAATACGATAATTTGTATGCACGAGATCATACATTAGAATTTCAATGACTGTGCAACTAATTACGCTTCTTGAATTTGAAAATACATTTCCCAGGGTTATCAAAACAAGCACACAAAGCGAATTAAACTTATGAGTTCGATTACGAATGGCTCAGTTAAGAACAGAACTAAGAGAATTTCTTGTTTTAAACGTATACGAGCAAACTCAACCTCCGTCTAAAGTCGTGTTTATTGGAAAATCAAGTACATAACACAAGGGTTAGGGAGCGTTGGTAAACATGATAACCCTGGGAAACGTATTTTCAAATCCCAAAAGCGTAATTAGTTGCACAGTCATTGAAATTCTAAAGTGCATACAAATTATGGTATTTGCAGTTTTTTTGATACACCCTGTAGAGAGGGTGAGATACCCAGGTTCCGGTGTGCGGGTATGGGTAGCCTAACTAGCCTTATTTTGTTCAATGAATTTCTATCAGTGTTTCAAATTTCGTTCGATCGAAAAATTCCGTCTAGTGAAAAACCGCCATTACCAACAACCGTTAACGAAATATATAGGCTATAACAATAACCAGTAATACAGGGCTATTTTCGTGATTTCGTTTTCTAAGATTAAAGGAAGCGTGCAGTGAATTTTTGATTTTGGAATAAGAGAATCATCTGTGTAATCCTTGTATTACATATTTATTCCACAAACGGGCAACTTCGTCGGATCCCAATTCACTTTTGACATAGTGAATGTAGTTTGTTATTCATAAAGCAGTACTGCCCTGGCTGCCATTGGTTTTAGTCGATTTGCTGCTCATATACTTTGCAACTCAACAGACTATAAAACATCCGTCAGAATGGGACTTGGATCCGACAAAATATGATCGTGCATGTGAACAGACTCCAGAGGCTCCAGAGTGTTCCTGAAAATGGACGCTTTTGAAGTCACTTAATGTTTGAACTTTGTTATTTACGATGTTTCCACAAGAATGATATCGTAATCCCATTTCAGCAGGGCTATATGCCGATGTACTGAAAGCTAAGTATAGCTTACTTTGAAATGCATGATGTAATAAAATGTTTCATCTCTGCAATTTATAAATCTTTATAACACAACTTTAACTATAAGACGTTCAAAATGTGTGGCTATATACAGAATTCTAAAATTTGCCCGATCCGAAGTGCGATCATCTACGAACAAATTAAAACTTGACAGCATGGGTTAACGGTGACTCGCCCCTTTACATCACATATTACCCCTCTTATCCATATACATCATCATTGTCCATGAGTACCACCGTTGACAACCTGTCAATGCGTAGGAAGAGTTTATAACCACTGAACACAAAAGAGTTTCTGGAGTGAGCAACAATAAACATGCAGTAAACTATAACATAGCATAAATCATTCAAAAATTGCTAGTGATGGGAACTATGCATAGTGCATACCATATGATCATACTGTAAGAACATCAAATTGGAATAAGTAAAACTGGCAGGGAAAAAGAAACAAATTCATGCACGTTAAGAATTTTAGCAGTCGAGCATTAGACAGATGATCAAGCCGTAATAAACACCTTTCTGACACCGCTATATTCCATCACTTTTTTAATGGAACTTACTTAAAATATTTTATTAAAAAGTTGTCGAATGAGCTTGGATATTTCATTAACATCACTGTTTATTAAATTGTAATGTAGACGTTGTGAAAAATATGTGACTGTTATAAAGCATCTGTTTGAAAAACTTTTTTTCGTGAAAATTTCATCCATTAAGGATGATACAACGTTTGCCTAGCACGTGTGCGCACTGCGTACCTATTTTTGTATTAGAAGGGAGGGCCTGACTTCGAAGTAACACCTTCCTTTCTGCTCAATCCGACGAAAATTTAAAGTGTGATATGTTGTGCATAGGATGATATGATAGCGCTCGTTGTCAATATTTTAACACCACTGTCCAGTGGTAAATACGCTCCTCCGAAACCGTTCGCTAAATTTTCTCGCAAACGCACCTATGCACGCCGGACAGCACTTTACCAGGAGTGAAGCTGACTAGTAATACGACATATATGGATGATATATGGACATATATGTATATGATGTATATCAATAACAGACGTAAATAGAAGCAACGAAGTCAACCTGGCGAAGTTGCAATACCAAGATGGCGGCCAATCTAGTTTCTAGCACTATTAAATTCCAACGAAGAAAACTCTTTGTTATCATGTTATTATAATTATTAAAGCAATATTTACACAGAAAGGCTCCCAATACACACGTGGTTTTCAGGGAGATGCAGTAAGTTAGTCTTATAAAATAGATTTGTTGCCATCTTGGTGCTTTAAAACTCTCCATTTTCGACGACTTCAACTGCCTTTAAGAAATGCCCTATTCATGTTCGTTTATATCCGTGATATTAAACTACGCTCTAGATACACAGGACTTTACCTTATTTCAGCACACCTCCCAGTTTTCGGGCGAGTTTTGTTGGTCAGTTTCTCCATTCATATTCCCATCTGATATTCTTCCATTAAGCGCGGCGGTAATCTTTAAACCATTTTCATCTAATAGTGGTTTGCGCTGTGTGACTGCATATTCTTCCGGCAAGGCTTCTTCCAACGAGGGCTTTTCATCCGGTACGACTGTATCTGTCGTGGTATCTTCGTCTGACAGGGGACGAATTACTGGAGGGCACGTTTCTTCTGATGAGATGCCTAATTCCGATGTGGTGTTAACCTCTGATAATGCATCATCATAATCTAATGGAAAATTAACTTTCGGCATGGGAATATTTTCCGTTGGGGTATCGACTTCTGATTGGGTATTTTGTGCCGGTAATGCATTTTCCTCCGCGGTGGCATTTATTTCCGCTGGGGTACTTATTACCGGCGATGTAACTTTTTTCGGTAGGGTGCTTTCATCCGGTAGGGTGCTTTCATCCGGTAGGGTGTTTTCATCCGGTAGGGAACTTTCTTCCGGTTGGGTACCCTCTTCCGGCGGGGCATTTTCTGCCAATAATACATTTTCTCCAGATTCGTCAGGGGTGACTTGGTCTGGAGAATGTGGTGCGGTTTGGTCCATAATGTCAAAATAGTTGTCGTCAGTAAAGAAGGATGCTTCACAAACTGGCCGACTGTTGGTCGGGTGCCACCATTTAGGGCCAGGAGATTGGTCAGCATGAATGATACCGCTTTGCTCTAGAATTTTGCAAAGCTGGGTTAGAACTATTCTCTTCTGAAGCTGGAATATCGGAGTAAAATAATACACAAAATAATTTCAGCAATTTTTAAGGGCTCGACTTCAACGAGAAAACAACTGGGACATCGGGAAAATAACTCTTAAAGTCTTCAAACAGGAATTGACCCAGTTTTGATGAGATTTCCCTGAGTCACAGGGTTGACTTCAGAGTTATACTTCGGTACCCTTTGTGTGTTTTGGCCAAATTTTTATCAAAGTGTTGGAGATAAACATTCACCTGTGAATGTGTCTGTAACGATGTTAGGTCCCTTGGCACAACTTCATCGCCCAGAAATATCTGCAATGTGTATAAAACAATCTAATTTTAACAGGTCTAACGCACAGTCGTTGAACATCAAGTTAATATAACAACCTAATAACACATAACTGAGTCATTCACACGTTTAAATCTATCAAATTGTAGAGACCATGCAGCGGCAAAAATTGCAAGCGAGAAAAGTGGTCTACCTCATCAAGACAAGGCTATTTATTTCTTACGAAATTAATCTAGCGCTGTCAGTTCACTCCTGGTAAAGCCACGTGATATTAAAAGAGCGAAATAGCAAGGTTTGGTAATTTATTTGATATCACACACACACTAAGAATAACTAAGGAAATTCTCGATCTAAAGTTCAAATCACATTCATGACTTGGTTGTGCGGTCATATCATTCCAGATGCTAAAAGAAATCATTCAAAATTCTTAATGTTAACCCCAAACGTTATCTCAGGGAAAGGAGAATGCTTCATAGACGAAGATTATACATCAAGCAAGCCCTGGAAGTTTGCATTCGTTCTAAATTTATCTCAAAGTCGTGCGTTTACAGCGAGGCCCCTATGGCCCTAAGATTGCTTTAGGTGTCCTAAAGTTAATTAATTTTGGCTTCGTTTACGGAAAGTATACTTAGTACATCCAGTGAATCATCAGTTAAGTTCAGTGTTGACTATCACCTACCAAACTACACTATCTTATTTGCTAAAGTATACCCCTGGCAGAAAATTCGAACCCATTCCCATCACCGGTGTGTCTACTCACCACCCAAGCGATGTCGCCAAGGCAAAACATATCGAACACCGGGGATGCTTCACAGGAGACTGGAGCTGAGTTTTGTAGCAACAATTCCGCGGTCGAAGATACGCGTTGTTGCTAGGAAAACAAATGAGGCATGACTGTTAGTTTGTAATAATATAATCTACGAGAAAAACTTAAAGAACTACACGCCGGTTTCCATTCACGACTTTGAATGTTGTTACAAAACTTCATGTAAGCCCCACGAAGGTTACCTACCGTATCGCGGATGAAACAATATTCGCCCAAGATCCCTCTGTCGTTATTGTCCACATAAATATTATCAATCACAACTGAGCCGTGGGTAATGCCGGCCTTGTGCAGCTCGAACAAAACACGTACGATGTCACAAATGACGTCACGCTTTGCCTAAATATGGAGCAGTAATATATTCAGCAGTCAAAGATGGTTCTTACACGACGTATTTCACACAGGTACATTACAGATGAGAAAGAATACCTAAAAATTGAAGCCTAAATAACATACCTTATTAGAAGGTTTGCCTTCTAACCATTTTCGTAGGCTTGTTTCGTAATAAGGAAGCTGAATAAATGCTTTCCTGTGCGTCTATGGGATAAAAAAAGGAAAACACGTTTCACACAAGAAACACATTTACAATGAAGTACAATGAACGAAGTACTACTTTTCATGTCTGATGGTCAAGATTTTGCAATTCTATATCAGGACTATACTTTTAGGGGATACTCCTAATCGATTAAGTTGTGTCTAAACAGTAAAAGCGGGACGTAAAAGCGGGACGGGATATGAACAAAAGTAATCTCACCTTATCATAAAATATAGCTTCGACTTTCATCAAACTTGAATGCTCGACTCGACTGAAAGCGGCGGCCTGTGTCTCGAATAAGTCGGTATCAACTACATCCTCAAAGCTGAATTCCTGCAAATATAAAATATCATTGTAATTAAACAGAGAATTGGTAAGCATTGAACATCATGTAAGGCGGGAGTTCAAAGTAAGGAATCCAGTAGACAAAGATCAGTGACAAACCTTGAGTAAACACTTTTCTCCATTGAACATCGTGACAAACGCGAGCCCCAGTTGCGATGACGCCATCACGTTTTCCATCTCGCCATGCCAGTAGTAAGTTAGTTCCCAGCCTTGTTTAACAAGACCGTTGCTTGCCTAAAGATTTTGGCGATTCGATAATAAGTTATGGGAATAGATTTCAAGAGATGAATTGGACAACTCTGCAAGGTTTTGTGATTTTTTATATAGGTAAACCATTTGCATTATATTCGAAATTCGCTGTGACCTGTTGCCTAAATAAGTCTAAGCACTTACGATAAATTTCTGCAGACCAAACTCAGGATATTGCACGGGTAATTCTGGGAAATTTTCAACGGCGACTTCGGCAAGTTCTCCCTGAATGAAGATACGGACCCGATTTAACAGCAAATCGCTTTATAGTCTGAATCAATCGTTATCCAGGAATGTATGAATACATACATTTTGCTATCAACACTGAACAGTCGCCTCCAACCAGGGGCCGGTTGTATTCAAGCCCGTTTAGCTTAAACGGTGGATAATTCAAAATTAAATAACACTCTTACATCTCTCTTGAATGAGTCAACCTGAATATTATGCACTGATGAATAGTTGTAAACAGCATCTTTGTAATAAGGTTAAAAACATTTAGTTCCCTTGTTGAATAAAACGATAGACTTGTTTTCTATTTTGTATTTAACCGTTTAAGCTAGACGGGCTTGATACAACCGACCCCAGGCAAGTACTGTTGAACAGTCAGTTAACAAGTACTGTCATTAGTTGAAGGTATCAAAAATCGAAGTCATTTCAAAGTTTGTCCATCCTTGATATTTACATACCAAAGCAAGCTTTTCGTCAACAAGAAGTCCGTGTAGCTGCAGCCGTAAATCATTGAGATCATTCTCCACCTGAAATGATTTTAACTGAGTTTAACCTAACAATTCATGTCACAACAAAATTTTTCAAACCGAGTTTTAAAATCTGCGATCACACGAGACACGCAAGTTCGCAATTTGGTTGCAAAATGGGAATCGGTGAAACGGCATTGAATTCATCGTTGTGGGAGGTTTACAATCTTGTTACAACTTCATGACAAGAACTTTGGCGAAGAGATACGACACCTTACCAGTGTGTTGTTAAGTCGTTCAAGAACAAAACAATATTTCACCTGTTTAAGTTCTTCATTATCCACGACTTCATCACTCTGTATAAACGGCAAAAACAATTTACAAATTGTGGTCATGAAAACCCCATCATGCACTGGAGCGAAACTGATGTAAGCCTTTTTTCAAACCTCTTCCAAGTCTTTTTTGTCGGCCAATTTGTGTCGGAATTTTGATTTTACACTCTTTAAATTCTTGCGAATTTCGAGTATTTTTGAGATGTCTGGTTCCCTGTTCAACGATGTCTCTAAGTCGTCCTGAACGAGTAAATAAACGTAAAGAAAGTAACATATATGTTTCATCAAAATAACATACAATTATGCAAACTTGCCGCCCGAAATTCATGAAAACAACCGAATACGATATGAATCAATCAACTGTACCTGAATTCTCGCGCACTCGTCGGCACGTGACCTATAGGACACGACATAATTGGTATTATAATATCATCAGAAACTCAAAAATCTTGCACATTTCGACAGCTATATTTGTCAAAACCTTTTTAGTAAGTTTGTTAACAAATGGCAGCGCTATTACTTCACAACTCTCCGTTAAACTTGTAGCAAAGGGCGCTGAAATGTCTATACGATTTGCTATAGCCTGAATTTATATTTGCTAGACTATTCTACACCGAATGGGGTACTTCACCTACGAATATATATATAAAAATTCCCGCGGAAATCAGCAAGCTACTGTCTGGCAAGTTGGTGTTGATATTTCAACACGCAGAAAAGACAAATTGATGCCCAAAATACCTCAGTTGCTTAACAACAGCAATTTCTTGTTGTAGTTCATTCTTGAGACATTTTATCAATGCCGCGAGAACTTTGATTTCCTCTGCATTATCATCACCTTCCTAAATGCAGAGAAATAATCTATCATCTTACACATTATGAATACTTCAAACTCATGGTTTCAACCGCTTCGACTTTCAAGGTTTTAAATAAAAAAAAACGAGAATTAAAACAATTGTCTCTGGTGTTTACTACACGCAAAGATACGGGCGAATCTTTGCATGTGAAAAGATCCAGACATTAATCTTCTCGCGCTTAGGAAGTCTGACAAAAACAGACCGTTTGCAGACTTTTTCTATGCGAGTTCATCCATTCCCACGCAATACCACTTCACTTCTTAATGCAAAAATGACCTAAAAATGATCTAGATTAAATCACCATTCTGAATTACCTGATTTTCGCTAACCTCTTCAGCGACAGCTTCACTCAACTGCTTCGCAATTGAGTTCACATCAGTAGTCTCATAATCATCTATGCTAAAATCATCATCAGGATCTAACATCTAGCGAGCAAGATTGAGAAAATTTCTAAAACTGTATAATTATACTGTAACCTGAAGGGGGCAAAATAGCCTGTATGCAGGCTTGTTAGAATTTACTTTTACATATAACGACATGCAGGTTGCGTGCAGGCTAGGCACATGCATTCCGAGTTCAACAAAATAGTTATATATTTATAAATAATTAGGCAATTACACGTGAACTGTAACTGACAGCAAAACATTGCCTTATCGTTATAGGTGAAATATGCCAATCAAGTTTTTCAAACTTCAAACAGTCTGATAGATAAAAAAACAAACTTTGGAATCTCGTAAAACAGATTAACAACATTTCGCGTAAGAATTGCTAATATTTCAGCGAGTAACTAAAAAGTTATTACAACAGTACACACCTTTCCTAGTTTCATAAATTCCTCCGAAAGTTTTCTTGAGATATCATCTGTTGTTTGTCGCGCAGATATCCCATCGGATTTTGCTTCCTTTTCCTAAACAATAAATATCAACGTCTGAACAATAAATATCAACGTCTTTGATATATTGATATACAAATGACAGTCAGTTATTTCCAAATCTTTAAGGTTCGCAGATGAAACAGTGCAATAAATGATACATTACCTTCCAGTCTTTGTAATTCTTCACAGCTTCATCGAGCGACTCATCTCCATCATCTAAAAGTAGAATGAAAACAAATTACAGAAGATTAAACTTTATCATTCTAGTTTTCAAATGCAATAAAAATTCTCAAAACCAATGGCACGATTAGGTGAAAAGAGGCTTACATCGGTGATGAAACACACTCAGCTTTTTCAGGGCTTCCTAAAAATAAAGTTGAAAAAAAGTTGTAACGGGTTTTGCGCATAAATTTTCTCTTTTAACAGGCAAATTTTAAACTGAATATACAGTATGTGCATGCAGCAGCAATGTCTCTGGCGTTTACTACACACAAAGATACGGGGAAATCTTTGCATGTGAAAAGATCCAGACTCTTAATCTCTCGCCTTTAGCATGGCAGACAAAATGAACGGTTTTGTGTACCAAATCAAAGCGAGGAAAGTGCAATTGAACCCTTTACTGATGAAAAACATGCTCATGTATATATTCGCCTGAACTTTAGAAAATACCTCGAGTTTTTGCCCGCGGTCGGTGATATTCAAGGATTCGAATTCTCCCAGAAAGCTCTTTGTATTTTCAAACAGTTCTTGTCTTTCGCTGTTTCGACTTTCGACAATTTCTTTCAGTTTATCCTACAAGTTAGAACGACGTAACACGGTAAAACAAGCGCCTTCATGTCTCGTTCAATTTGACCGACGTGAATGGAAGATACTTTATTATAAGATTGCTCATACATGTGAAAAACTCGAAGTTTACCTTGCCGTCGCACGTTCTTATAGATTCTTGTACCAAGTTTTTCATCGAAAAGCATAACTGAATGAGAGGAAACCCAAAATAGAGATTTTGTATCTTCTGACAATGGCTATCTCTCTCATTACAATCTCCTTATACAGGCAAGGTATACAACTAAACAAATAACAACTGACAACAAAGATACCTTTTAAACTTTTAACTCTATCCAAGGTAATTCGGTTTTCGGTATCAGTTACCAAGGATATCGCCACGTCAATATTCGTTGCTCTGTCCTGACCACAGGTGTCGCACATCTGAATAAGTACTTTTACTTTTACTGACGATTTCAACCACTTCAGATTATAAGAAAAGGAGGCTTTACTGGAGAGAGCTTCATTGGGAAAAAGGGGGCTTTTTACAGAGTGGAGGCTTATTTAAAAGGGGGAGTATCAAAAAGAAAGGATTATCTAAGGAGAGGACACTTATTAGAGGAGGGAGCCAATTAGAAGAGATGAACTGTAGGACTGAGGGGCCAAGGGGGTAAGAATAGGCCTATTAGAAGAGGGGTTTATTACAAGGGGAGTATTATCAAAGAAGTGGGCAGTTATTAGAGGAGGGAGCCTATTAGAAGAGATAAAAGGTTTATTAGGGAGATGAGGCGGGGGGAAGCTAGGGAGAGGGTATGATAGGGGTTGTAACCTGAAGAATATGATTCGTACCTTGACTGTTGCAAATCTGTCATCGATGTTATTATTGTTTTCATCTACAAGAGCAAAGAAAGATTTAATCCTATGCCACTAGGTCCGACCGTAGTTCACTGACCTGTTCAGTTGGGAGGTCAAATAAGGCACATGTTTTCCATACCTTGATACATTTGTCCAGTTGCAAACACAGATCATCGTTCTGCTGTTTCACAGTTTCAAAAAGCTTGTTCAAATTACAAATAGTTTCGGCTTGGAACTAAAAAGAAATTATTTGTATTGAACAACCAACTTTACGATGATTCCAGGCAATTCAAAAGAACCAATCAAATGCGATAACTATTTCAAAAGAACCAATCAAATGCGATAACTATATCCGATGAACCAATCACAAGCGCAATATGGCAACCAAAAGTAGCAGTAGTGGTAGTCAAATCTGAACCTTGCTATTGTAAGTAACTGGGCGAAAACCTATAAAACGTTTTACAACTTGCCTTGACTGTTAACTTAAGGCCGTTTAACTCTTGTTTATGGTCTTGCTTGTCCTTGTTTGGCTTCTCTGGACTTGAGTCCTTGTTATTCTCGTTCAGCGGCTTCTCGGCCACACTCTTCTCTATTCTCCCTTTGTCACTGCGCGGCTGAAAGTACAGAGTATATGGCTTCACACACAGTAGCCTGACGACGCGCTTTTAACAATCCTGTAGCTTTCTATGGCGAAATGGTTTTAATATCTGTTCCAGGATAAACCACACAAGAACAACAATTACAACCATGAATCAGGATAACAATTATAACCAGGATAGTGCAAAGTTTCGTAGAATAGCAACGAGGTTAAACGAAGTACTACAATTCGCAAGCAAAGAAGATGCTTGGATCTCAGCGAAAAAATTACAAGAACATTTTAAATCGATTGTACACTTCAAATCGACGATAGCACGTGTGCCAATCATCCGCTCGTCCGCACCCGCATTATTTTTAACCCATAACTGTCATGGAAACTTTTCCGGAAATGTCTTAAAACACGCGCGAACATAATATCCAGCGTTTCCACTTTGAAGGAAATTTCCTTTTCGAAGGAAATTTCGACAAAATGAGGGAAACGAAAAGGAAATGGAATTTTGAAGGAAATTTGGAGGAAAAACCTTATATGCAATTTAGTTACTCTTTAAAAAAGTATTGTAACGTGCTCAATTGTTCAAATCGAGATTTCACATATGAAACGAGGAGTGCATGGCTTCTGGTTAAGTAATAACCTGAACGTCAGGCGTTTCTGTGGATTGCATTGATTGCAGTGAACTCTTAGTCTCTAATAAGTCTTATGCCTGCGCTGCAGGCTGGCCGAGGATTTAGCCCTAAGGCACAGATTAATCAGTGCCTGAGGGTTGTCATGGTAACGACTCACGAGTTGTCACGAGTTGTCGTGGTCAAATGTTTTAAAGTATTAAATATATGGTAATATAATGCTCCTGTCAAATTTAAATTTACATTTCTAAATATGGATAGTAGTAGTGATGCTTCATCTGGTTCTGAGGATGACACCGAGAATGAGATCGAACAGAGAAGCAAACAACCGAGTGCGAAGAAACGCAAGAAAACGTCTAAAAGGGAGCAACCATTTATGGACAGTTGGTTACAGCTTCCCCAGTTCAAGAATTGGCTCGTGAGAAGATTAGCTAATGATCGGAAAGCTAAGCCGTACTGCAAACTTTGTGAACAAATGTTAACTTGTTCAAAAACCGGAATTAAACGGCATGCTAGTAGCAAAAAACATCAAAGTAAAGAGAAATTGACTTCAACAACCATGTCTCTTGGTCATATGGTGAATCAAATCAGAAATGAGAACGATATTGCAACATCTATGGAAGTAAAAATTTGTGCATTTATAGCCGAGCATAATTTACCTTTATCAATCTCAGAAAGTATGGTCAGACTTCTTTCCTCAATGTTTCCAAATGATGCTTCCTTGAAGAAAGTCAAACTTGGAAAACAAAAGGCAACCAATATTCTGCGTCAAGTTCTCGGCTTTGATTATCTTCAGGATATGGTAACATTGTTGCAGTCAAAGATGTTCAGTATAATCATTGATGAAGCTACTGATAAAAGTGCAAAGAAACAACTTGCTATCATTGCTGTTTCTTTGATTTGGAAAAATTTGAGTTGCAATATTGGCTGGTAGACTTGGTCGAGACAGCTGATGGAACTGCAAATGGCATTTATTCAAAGATTAAGGAAACATTCCAAGGAATGAATATTCCAGTTGTAAACATAGTGGGCTATGCTTCAGATACAACAAACGTCATGTTCGGACAGAATCATTCTGTCTCACAGTTGCTGAAATCTGAAATCAGTCATGTTCAAATTGTAAAATGCTCCTGTCATCTTATCCACTTGGTATCATCACAAGCAGCTTTAAAGCTTCCAAAAAGTGTTGAAGACCTGTGTAGAGATATATATGCTCATTTTCACAGGTCTTCAAAAAGACAGGACACTTACAAAGAATTCCAAGCATTTTTTGAAATGGAACCACATAAGATGTTATCTCCATCACAAACCAGATGGCTTTCTTTGCAAGAATGTGTTGCTCGTATATTAGAGCAGTATGAAGCTTTGAAACATTACTTTGTTCTTGTAGCAAGTGATGACCCATCTAATACCAATGACCGAATTCTTGCTTCACTTCGGAATCGATTTGTTCAAGCATACCTAGAATTTTTAAGTTTTCAACTTGAGAGATTTAATGGATTTAATCGGTTATTTCAAAGCGAATTCCCTCTCCTACACTCTCTTAAACCAGAAGTGGAGAAACTTATCAAAGAAATTGCTAGTGATTTCATGGATATCCCCACTGTGAAAACAATGCAAGCAGATCAAATTGATCCCACAAACACTGAACACCATGTTCCATTGCAACAAGTTTACATTGGCCTTGGAGCCAAAGCTACTATCCAAGAAATTGAGCATGGTGCAACAAAACAGGATGTAGAAAAATTCTATACTGATTGTAGGAATTTCTTAATTGAAAGCATCCTGCAAATCCAAAACCGCTTTGATTTAAAAGCAGAATATCATGAAATTGTCGAGTGCCTAATGCCAAGTAATGCTTCTTCAGTGATGCCAGGATCACTTGGAGAAATTTGCAAAAAGTTGCCTTACCTTAGTAGCATTCTTGATGTCAAAAATCTGGATATGGAATGGCGGAAACAAGCATTTGAAGATAAGGCTAGTCCAGATCTTCAATGGTGCGATTACTGGAAGATGATTCGTGATTGTAAGACAGTGTCTGGAGAAGCAAAGTATCCCAACCTTATGAAATTTGTGGCAACATTGGCTTCATTGCCTTTTTCAAATGCTGCAGTAGAAAGAATATTTAGTCAACTCAAACTTGTGAAAACAGATCACAGAAACAACTTGAAGTCTTCATCACTGATTTCCCTGCTTCAAAGCAAAATGGCAATGAAGAATGGCCATTACTGTGCTGCTAGCCTTAAACCAAGCAAAAGATTATTAGGACTTGCCTCCGCAATGAAATCCAATGCAACTGATGAAGAAGTAAAACAATAAAGCATGAATTTTTAAGCAAGTTGAAGGTTTAGACTTTAGAGATATATAAGATTTTTATAACTTATGTTGGTGCATGTCAAGGGTCTAAATATTTATATTAATATTTTGTTGATATTAAAATATTTCATTAATTATGGACATCCATCAGACACAAATAACATATTTGTTATTCTATAGTGAACTATAATTAAGAGTATTTTGACTTTTTTTGAGTATATTATATATTGTCAGGTATCAATTTATCTCATTTACACTGGGAACATATGAAGGAAATTTGAAGGAAATTTGATCATTTTTTCGAAGGAAATTTGCTGTAAAAAAAGGAATTTAGGCCTAGAAAAAGGAAATATACGATTTCAAAAGTGGAAACACTGATAATATCCACTGAAGTTCCGATTTCAAAATGGCTAGAGCCGCTTTAGCCCAAATCACTGCATTAGCCGCAGTATTTTGAGCGTTTTTCTGGCGATAACGCTAATGAAATTGGACGCAAACATTGCTTTTAACTGGACCAAGATCAAGGAGATTCTAGGTTAGTGGTATCGCTTTCAAATCTATAAACTATTGCCTAATTGGTAAGTTAGTGAGAGAATCTACGCGGATGTAAATCGTACTATACATTCGCTAGTATATAAGCATCGCGACAAGTTACTACGGGTTGATATTTCATATTTCGAGTCGATGCAAATCGTCGGCTGTCGCCTCGGGTAGTCGAGCGATCGCTTCTGATGTTGTTTGAGAACGTGACAGAATCATGAGGGATTTAGAGTGAGCTGTGTTTGCATAATCTACCCAACCTCAAAATATGCCCGGTTTCATTATACGTCGGTGCACGCAGGCTAGGTTTTAATAGATTCTTCAAAAGCTACCTTCATGAGATGTGCAATTCCTAGACTAGTGGAGAATTCCTAGCTTAGTGGAGAATTCCTAGCTGAGTGGAGAATTCCTAGCTTAGTGGAGAATTTCTAGCTTAGTGGAGAATTCCTAACTTAGTGGAGAATTCCTAGCTTAGTGGAGAATTCCCAGATTAGTGGAGAATTCCTGGCTTAGTGGACAATTCCCAGATTAGTGGAGAATTCCTAGATTAGTGGAGAATTCCTGGCTTAGTGGGATCAAATAAATCACCGTTAATAGATTGATAGATGTAATAAAACCTGGAACGCTAACTTGGCCGCCATCTTTGAAGCCAAATGTGAAGGTTTTCTGAGTTTTGGAACGTTTGAGACGTTTGAGTAATTATCTATAGGAATGTCTAGAACTATGTAAAATAACAACAACGAAAAACAGAGACAAAAACTCAGTTTTTTATTCAATTTTTGGCTTCAACCAAATATTACGCTAAAAATAAGATATGCTAGTCTTATTTTTTGCAATATAAGCATACTAAAGTATCTTCTTTTCGGAATCAAAAGTTGGTCTATTATTATGCAAGTGATCCATTGAGCGTTAAAATAATCAATTCCCATTCTTACGCACGTGTTATATAGAATCCGACCAATGCAGTGGGGAAGTTATCGCCTACTACAAATTTGACCGATCTTTTAGAGATGTGTGCTTTGGCCACAATGCCCATAAAGAGAGAAACGTGGTGAGGGATATTTCAGAAGGCATAGCGAACAGCGCAGCCCGTTTCTACGATCATTATAAAATATCATATCTCTACGTACCCAGTCTATACGGTTACGAATGGGGCTCGACCTTCTCTGTCAGTATCTGGTTCAAAAACGTAGAAATTGTACGGGACGAAATCCGAGGTCTCATTAATAATGGCCCAGCGGCTATACAGAAACAAAATCAGCACAAATCATTCCGGAGATCTCCGACAACACCAAACACCTTAGGAAGCTGGCAAATACGAATTGCATCGCAAAAATTCATTGGTGCATCCATCGTGACATCACACTCAGCCAAAACCTGGCAGAACATAACGACTGCTATTTCAGACCATTGGCATCACTTTGTGATGACCTACGACGGTTCGACGATCTCGTTTTACCACAACAGCCACCTTAAGCTGACCGATTCGAGTTGCTATGGCAACATTCTCAGCAAAAATTCCCAGGTTGTGATGGGACACACGAAAACGAGAGCGCGTAACGGGAGTGGAGAGATGAAAGACGTGTATTTTAATGGCTACATGGACGAAGTGATATTGTTCAAAAAAGCCCTGACCGCTAAACAGGTTACAAGACTTTACCAGCTTAAGGTTGTTTAAACATTTTAAATAATACGAACCATTTAAAAAGCTGAATATTCATTTCACACTGCCGTGTTGGATGCCTTACTCCCAACTCTGACAAAATATTTTTAATTGAAAAACACTTAATTAATTTTGTTACTAAGCCTATGACTGATATATGCTTTCTTAATTTTGACGCTATTATACTAATTTGTTTAACTTATTTTCGTTTATATTTTGTTAATATGATTTGTAACGAATGTGTTGATATGATTTCTAATGAAATATATTTGTAACGAAGTTGCTTCCAACAGATCGGAAGAAACGAAAAGGCAGACAGTTATCTAAAGTAGGAAAAGGGACTTTTAGCCCCTATTGTTTCAGCCGTGGAGAAATATCACTTTAAACAAAACTTGGGGAGATAAGTGAATTTTAGCCCCCCCCCCTCCCTGTTTACCCGTACGCTCTGTGCAAAACATCATTGCCAACACGTGTATCATTTCTTACCTTATACATGTCCTGAACGCACCCCCGATCCCTCATGATTTCATTAATACTTTTTCCCGCCTTCCCCGGATAAGAGACCAGAACATTCACCCCTCCTGGAAAATATACAACTCAATTTTCAGTTTGACCTTTGCAATCCGGGAAATAGAGATTTCAAATCGACGTGCATCAAAACAAAACCGTTATTACTGCAAAGCATTATTTCGGGGAAGTTGAAGATTTCACCAATACAAATTGGTCAATGAGTTTAATTTGCATGCGTGTTACTGTTTATTTCATGGATTTAAATCCACATAATCTCAAGTTGAAGTTATAAAATACAGTATCAGTTAGTACGTTATAGAATTTTTTGTTCTGCGGCCAGTTGTATAACTATAAGACTAGTTAATTTTTAACTGTAGTTAAGGACAGAATTACAAAGAACAGAATTACAGAAAAACAAAACTAGAATTTAACTATATATGCAAAATGTAGTTAAAGAGTTTTATACAACCGCTTTCTGTACTCTGTAGGTAACACTGGATGAAAAAATAACAACAAATATATTAAGTTGTTCAACTACATCAACCATACAACTCACCATGCGTGTTTTCCGAAATAAATTTGACACTCACAAGTTGCCCAATGATAAGATTTTTCAATTGCTCAATTCCCTAAATACAGGAATATTGATAAAACAATAAACAACGCGTGTCAAACAGGGCTTGGAAAAAGTGGTAGAATGTGAAAATATGGCACGGCAAAATTCACTATAGTTTATGTATTTATGAGCGGGAAAAATCCTCGAGCTCAAAATAGACAAATGTAGACAAAGTTAAGGAATTTTACGTTAACACTTTTGCTGCGATTTTATGTGCGATTTTTTTCTTTTGATAGATGTGAACGAGTAGTTAGTTACGAATGTTCTGATGTATGAGAACTCTTATTTAAACATCAGTAACTAATTCACTCGTTAACATCGATTGAAAGAAGAAAATCGTACATAAAGTCGCAGCAGAAATTGCAAGTGTAAAAAGGCCTTTACAGACACAGTATTATAATTTTTACGTTTTACAATATTAGCCGTAAGCAAACTTTGCGCAGTTTTTTTAACTCAAAGACTCAAACTCTTTCAGTCTTTCTATAGTATAGTATAATAAGTGTAGTGTTGCATTTTGTTCGTAGTTGGAACCAGTCCAGAGTTCTGCAGTCCAAAATTAAGTTGAGGGCCTTTTAAGTTTAGCGTGTAAACCGATTATTGTATTACATGTCTTACCAATGCGTATGTCATCTCGTTTGCCTCGGGATCACTGGACACAGCACAGTCTGCGAGATGATAAAGTTGTGCAAATGGTCGGACGTCAGCCAATGAGGGTGGCAACTCAACTAAGGTTTCCTTTTTAATTGTTTCTGTGTTGCCAAAATCAATGTACCTCACAGTTACCTTAAAACAAAAAGTTTGTCGGGCAGAATTAGTTCTTTCTTCAAACCTAATGACAGTGAGTTTTCGAACCTAATGACAATTCAGACTGGATGCGATGCCCCTGGGTCTTCAGTAAAAGCAATTTATACTTCTATACTACAGTGTATTTCATTGTTATCTCAAAGACTCAAACTAAATTGGCTATCTAAACCGGATAAATTCTTAAGTATAATTTTTATGTTCATTTTTTTCACATTCGTTTTCATACCAAAACGGTTTCAAACACTGTCATAATTTACAATAGAAGTTGAAGCTAATTTAATTTTCCTTGGATCTAAACTGATAATAAAATAGACAAAAAAGCTCAAACATGACACTTGTATTCAATTTAACAAACTACCAGTTCAAAAAATTTCTTTTCAGAGATCTAGTAAAGGTGATGTTTTTATCACTCCAGTCTACTAAGAGTATGCACATGGGTCAATTTAAGAGACATAATACTAAAACATTTTTAACTTACCATCCCCTGTGAAAGAAACTTGATAACCGAACATCTATACCAAAGATTATCAACAGGGTACATTCCACCATAAATCTACACAAATATATAAAAAAAGTTATCATAATCCAAAAACTAGTGGATATAACTTTATAAAACCATTAAATTTTCTGCAGTTTGGCACAACCCAGAATAACACTTTATCAAGTATCAACAGTGAAAAACTCCACCTAGGAATTGTGTAACTGTTAATCACTAACTAGAAATAATCAAACCTTATTCTTCTGAAGGGAGTTGATGTCAGCAACCTTCAGGCCTGTGGGGCAATAAAACTGTAGTTCATCACTTGCAGTTGACAAATTATGTGCAACGGTTGGCTTGGCAATCTGACCCCAAAATCTGACTGGTGAATCGACTTCTGTGACTAAAATCACTTTTTCCTGTTCCTAGATCGATTAAATAAGATTGCTTTTTCAAGTTGTAATGTTCAGCTATAGCTGGAATCATTAATCATAGCACCATGTTATCTGACCTCACGACTTCTCTGTCGGTCAGAACTCCATTCCTTCTTTTGAGGATGTGATGAGTTTCCATAACCACCTCCATAATCTGAAGTTTCACCACTACCAAACGGCCTTGTCCGAGGTCGTCTGCAATCTGAATCATTCACTCGCTTGTGTTCAGAATACATTTTGCCTCGAGGCTGACCAAAGTCTGACCTGCCTTGCCTAGAAAGAGCATAGATTTTTATGAAGCTTTGAAGCTACAAAGGTAATCAAAGTTATGTGTATTTTAATGCACTCTCTGGTATTTCATGGAGACAAACCACACCATCACTATTTAATATTTATTACAAAATAACATAATATTTTGTACCTTTCTTGTTTGTATCTGTTTCTTTGAGCAATATTTATCTGAAATAAAATGATGCTTAACAAGAGACACGAAATAGTAACCAATAGTTCTTTGTTTACAGCAAACCAAAAATTGGGAAGTACCATTAAGTATTACAATTGTAGCAAATATGTACTATCATAGAATAAGACAAGATTCTACAAAGTATTATGCACAATATTGATTGATTTAATTTGCCAACAATACCTGCAAGCTAACATTTTCAACAGGATTATGAGCCAAGGCATCAACTGCACATTTTGCCATCTCCTCTTGTGGATATCTTACAAAACTATGACAACAAAAAAATTTTAAAATATGCTTTAGACATATATTTGTACAACATCATATTTGCAACAAGGGTATTAGACCAATATAGTAATTGAAGGTAAGGAAGTGAACCATTGCAAATAGACCTGGACAATTTAAAGCATAAAAATTGACCAGCAAAAAATTTTTACTCACGCAAACTGTAGTCTGTTTAAATTCTCTGGGCTATTCCTTAAATCTACTGATTTAATTTCACCGAAGGGTTGAAAAATTTCCATTAGTTTCTCCTAGAAAAAACCCCAAGTCATTAGTTCCCTGGAGTCAATCATCAGATATCTAACAATTGACCTGTAAACTGTATAGTCATAGTTCCACCAAAAAAGTAACAGTCAATCAATACATGGTCTATCTCCTAATGACTATACCTGCCTATGGTGCTGGGATTGGACAAGAATTGGACAAGTTATGTCTGAATCCAAAGATCACTCAATCAGAAAATTCTGCATGTTGATCAAAGGATTTTTTGGCAACATTTTTTGATCACTAAATATCAAATCACTTTGATATTGTGTTTTTAACATCTAACTAAAATCAGTCGACTACTAAGTTTCGTTTTTCAATCAAGCTGGATTGGAATTGTTAAAAAGTCACCATTAATGTTTCCGCTACCACTGAAATGACACAGGCCATAACACCTTCAGTTTCATGGGCTAAGGGTTGAAGTATAAAAATACAAAACTCTGGGTTGGGGTTATAACTTATAAGGGTCATGTTTGGTTTAGAGCACTCTCCTGTGCAAAACTGAAGATATTTGGAAGAAAGAATTAGTGGTTGGAATCTTGTTGGTTTGCAGAACAAGTCTATGCCAAGGGTCCATTCTTGGCATGTGGTAGAGAGCATTGAACAAATTTGGAATAACAGGTTATCAGTGATGGGGGGCCGGGGGGGGAAGTCTTATTGAAATAGACGTCCCATCCCATTGGAGTATAATTTGGCCATTGGCCTAATTTTGGGAACATTACCATTACATACTCAACATTATTAAGTAATCATACCACCACATGAACACAAAGCAACAGATCAAAACATTCAGCATACAAGAGTACAAACCTTCGTCCAATCTGACGGGATTCTGCCCACATAAACGTCAAATGTAGTCTGCCATCCTCTTCGTTCAGTTTCTCTCTCGTTGCTGTTGCCTGACCTACGAGGACTTTGATCATGTTTTTCCGACATCGGCGAGCGATCGGAGCCAAATTTTGACTTCTCGGACGAGCTCTGCATCGATATAAACTACTCACCACCCTTCGCTGCCCTCGAACAATATTTTAAATGATTTTTTCGACAATTTTCTAGCGAAACATCGGTGATTCCCCCACGTGTTGTTTTTCCTGCTGATTTCCCTGACAATATTACGTTACGAATGATTATTCTGAGCAGTGAGCCCAACGTTTGCATAAATTTGCACAGCAACATAGTATTATTCATGACCGTATTTCATGTAAGCCTTAACTAAGTGGATCAATGACTTAGAAAATAGATCAAGATTCAAGTCAAAATTATGTCTGAGGTTGGAGAAGTATAAAATATCTATTTTCTTACATATTACGCTTTATTTATTTACTTCTTTGTTTGTTTCTACGTGTTTCTAGAGGTTGAAAACGTTTTTTGAGGCCTTGTTGAGGAGGTAGTTTTTTATGTCTTTCAGACTAGCTTTGTCTGCTTTGATGCGACATTTTCCGTGTTTATCTTTGGCATGTATTATTTGCATGTACGATATTATAATATAAAACAGTCTGTTGTTATCACGCTTTCTTTATGAAGTCATTGTGACCATAAATGACCTAATATAAGAAATTGTTAGATTGTTACTTTGTTGTCATGTGACTGTCAAATGTATATAGTGACCCCACGCCAAGGTCATATTAGAATCTTATTAATAAATAAGTGGATGGTTGAAGGAGCACTCTCCAATGCCAACATTGTCTTTGTTACAGTCTGTTGTTTTGTCATGCTCAGGCATGTTTATAGATAGGTGTTTGTATTTATAGGAACTCAGATTTTTTGGCTGCTGTAGTCACTGACAAGGACGGTGTGCCCATAGTGAAAGGTACCACTGCTGGTGTAAAATTGTAAATACAATAATTATTACCATTGTCATTACCATTCACTAAAGTAGTATGGTCACACCATACCCATCATGATGATTCCAACATCCCTAGTAATTATATATTTACTAATCAGAAACAATTTCCCAAAATTCAATGGTACATAGATAAATTTTTTATCTACCTCTCTGATCAACACTCTCTGTAACCAGATGGTAAAGAAACTACTTTAGAATTGCAGAATCTTGTCATGTGTATGTTTGCCCCACCTTGTTCTCCTAACTTGTAATCTTCATTCGTCTCACTATTATAAATATTTCTCTCAAATCCTTTTACTCACCAGCAACCCAAGACAAAGTGCCAAACAATGTTTTAAGAGGAAGCTTTCTAGCAACTTTTGCATCTGCAACTGAACAAGTAAAGACAACTTTCATTAGAGCAACACTATGTTTAAAATACTAGGATTGTGTTGCTTTCATATGACATCAGTTTGACTGGGAAAGATGAAAATCAATTTCCAAATACAAAACTTTTTTCAGAACTTTGGTCAGTTCAAACCACTGTCTAACACATTTTTTATGCTTCATTCTAGGCAAGCAAACTTGGTCTTTCAAAGAATAAAACTATTGTTTGCTCATTTTCATCATTTCAAGTATGTTACCTTCAGGCATACATAGTTAATGACAATATGTTTTTTTTCAATTTTTTCCTGCCCCTTCATACTCCATACTGCCATTTCAGATATATACAAGTAAATATAATACATAAACAACGTATTTATATTTCAGGTCGTCCAGTTTAATTTTCTTCCACTAGTTGTGACAATAGTTGCAACAAGTCAAGCCAACACAGGTATGCAAAAGTGACAAGTGTAAAAGTTAGGTTGGTTCAAGTTTGGTCCAGTGTTTTTATAGAAGAAAATCACATTATAAATGCAAATAATTTCAAAACTCTCTGTTCCTAGAGGATTAGTAAGGTCGGCCTTTTTCATCCAGCACAAAGCGTACACTGAAAGAAACCTAAACTAAATTACGCTCGGTAGTTTCCAGGTTTTTTATTTTATTTTTTTAGGATTGATCCTCAGTTTAGAAAACGAATTCTCAGACGACGTGAAGGAGATGTCTTCTGCAATTCGCGCAATTTCAAAAGATTAAATAAACGATTTTATATATACATTACTCACTATAGTCACGAGTCACGACTAATTTCTGACTGAATAATCATGTGTGGAAGCTCAATTAATGCAATTACATTTTTATAAAGATAACTGGATAAAGTGTAAAAAACTGGGTTTAAAAAATGGGGAAATCCTCTCGTTAATTCTCTTGAAATTTTGCGTGCATCTCCTTTGAATGTATGTGAACGATCTACCATGTCCATGGTCAATAACGAACATTCAATACTCTCATTCACACTCATGAGAAAAATAGCACCAAAAACCACACCAAAATTCAAGATGGATTGCAAGTGTAAAACTGGCTGAGGCTGATACTTCTTCAATGTGGAAGTTTTTAAACTTCCCAATGTGCCAACGCACATGCGCATCGAAGATAGGAAAATCCACTCGTATGTATGTACAGTCAACATCATTCTTTTTCCGGCTTATATTCCAATATACTTTTCAAAACGCTCTGTTGGGACTTGATGGACTGGTGACTAGGCGGTCTTTGAGCAGCAGCGTCGAGGGAGTTGGTCGGAGGAACGTACACACTTTGCTGAGATGCGGCGCGTGCTGAATGACGGGAAGGCGGCACGCGATTCTGATGAGAGAACACGCGAGGGGAACATCGCGATTCGAGTTTACTGCGAATTTCTAAAACAACAGAAAATAGTTGTCGTCAGCCCGTCTCAAATGACGGGCCTTTTCCCAAGTGAAAAAGGCTAATTGTCAACACACTTTAATATCTCCAGTACTTTACCTTCGATTTGAGCGTCACTGGTTCCCGGTCGAGGTTTGAATGGAGAGCTGGGTTTCAGTTCACTTGCAATCCAATTTGATTTCACTCCATTTTGAGATGCGGGTCTGCGGACAAACGAGATATTTTAGAAAAGTTGGAACTATTAACAAACTTGATTCATTGTGGAAATTTAATTATACAATCGTAAACCCTATTGTGTCAATTAGGCAGACTTTTTAAAGGGAATAGTTTTAGGTCCACATTAACACAATAGCAATTAGCAAGACTGGTTTGGATTTTATTTCAACTATGGCTATACCACCATCCCTAGCCTAGGTTTCGCTGGCCTGTCACTCGCTCGTGATTGGCTAAACTCGTAGTATTATATCACATTTAATTGATCCATATGCATCTTCTCCGGCTCAATAAAAGCGGGTAGTGTTGGTACATATTGAAGGTGAAGCTATCGCATTTGATAAATGATAGATACAAACGAAAATTAGCGTATTTGCACCTCGGTTTTTGCAATTCCTCAACCGCAAAAGTTTTCTGCGTTTCTCCTATGTTATCCTTGTCTTGAAGTTGCTTGGATTTTCTTCCTTGTTTTTCGTTATACTCTTTAATGGCGTCTATATCAAGTGTGCTTTCGTGTTGCAACAACTGATCTTCGTAGATTGGCGACCGCACCGCTTGCTGGTAGCCCTCACGAAATTCAAAGTCCGACGTTGATATGGCACGAATCATATCGAGAACGAGTTCTTTTTCTGCAATTGAAATAGTTTTTCAATGCTGAACTTACGAAAGCCCTAGCTGATTTGTACTGAGTCTAAGTAGAACTAGTCAGGTCTCGATTATTCAACAAGGAGTTGAAACGTAAAGCGAACTATTTAACTCTCTAGTACGTTCAATTTTTCACTCAACATGCCTCATCATAATACATGAAGTTAGTGAACCCACCTCTACTGGGAGCATTGACAAGCCAGGATTGAACAGCAGTGATTGAATCTGTTTGCAGAATATTACACAATGTTTCCATCACCTACAATTCAGGAATTGCCATGAAAATGCGCAAACAGAAATTGGCAAGTGGCATCTCATCAACTGTGATGCCGTCAATAATATGATAATATAAACCGCGATCTGAGTAACTTAGTAGTTTGGCCACTAATATATTTGTTGCAGCAGCACCTTTTGGCCTACAGTAACTGCAAAAATCTTAAAAAAAGCAAGTATTTTGGGGAAATGAAACATACCCATCCTTCGTTATCTGTGACAGACATTATGTGTTCCAGCGGCCTCTCAGACGCTTGTCGTGAACACTGTCTTGATGCTGGTGGCATCTCATGGTTCCCTGGAGTCCTGGGTTTATCACCTAAGAGTATAATATAGGATTGAAAGAACTTTTGAACTGAGCCATGATATAATGCTGGTTTTAATGTTGGTGCCTACCATACATTTACTGGACAATGATTTAAATGACCAAGTGCAAAATGTTGGTAATGTAATTACCATGATAGCAATGATCAGATCATGGTAATATTGGCAATGATACTGTTGCTGACAGACCTACCATTTCTGGATGGTGGGATACCTCCATTCACAGCTTCCCTTGATGCAATTGGCCTCTCACTCTGCCGAGAACTTGGTGGCTGTAGTAGTCCAGTTTTGCTGATAGTTGGATGGCGTTTTCTTAAACCTGCCGCTTCTGTTAACTTTGCAAGCTCCTCTCTCCAAGTCTGTGTTATGGGTACTAAAATACGATACGAAGTAAGACATATAACCACTACCGTTATTCGTACTAAACTGGTCGCATTAATACAGTAAATAATAAATTGCATGCAGTGAAGACAAATACTAATATGAATGTGCTCTTTACCGACTAGAAGAAAACCTTAGGCAAAAAAACAAAAATATCTTTCAAAACAAAAATTTCGAGTATTAGAAGCTAAAGTGAACTCGTAACTATGACAACAACTGTGTCACGCTTTGCAAACACAAAAGGCAAATCCGTAAACCCCGACCAAATAAGACTCCATAAAATTTATTTACCGAATACAAAATCCTTAAACAAAGTACAGACATAAAAGGTTCCTTACCTAAGCCAATTCCCGGTACAGCTTTTTCCTTACATGTCACAAAAGATGTCGAATTTAAAGGCTTCGTAGTCCCCTTACGCGACCGGTTCCTTCAGCGGGCAAAGCTGGAGTTTTGACCAAAAATCTTGCCGGATTTTCGTGCGAGTTGCTGTCTATCACCGTACAAACAGGAACATCTAGCAAGCCTTTAGATGGATAACTCTTTTCGGATGCGGATTGTGGCGCAAAAAAAGGACTCTTGCTTGATCGTTGGGGAAAGCTGGCACTTCGACTATGCAAGCCTTGTCTTGAAGGCGATTTCGAGTCGAACGCATATCGGCTTGTTCGCGGCAACTCGTTTAAACTGTCGGAAATTAGTTTGCCGCGGCTTAGAAGCTTCCTATCTGTTGCCACCTCATGCATTGTCGCCATTTATGCCACAAAGATTAAAGTTTAAACGTCAAGTTTTTCCAAATATTCGTGTATACCTTTTGAATTGAAGTGCTGTGTTAATAAATAATGAGTGTATCAAATTACTCTGTACTAATGTAAATTGAACACGTTGTCATGGAATTATTCGAACAAGGTAAATAAAAACACAACGGGCTTGTTTGCAAGTCGAATTAGTTTTAATCGAAATATACTCGTGGGATTAAACAATAAATTGGGCAACAAGGTATTCCGTATTTTCTTTCTTTTAACATTCAAGGCACAAAAAATGAAAGGGGCAAAAAAACAAGGGGCAAAATTGATTGGTTGAACATGGGTCAAAATCAAAGCACGGGTCAAAAAGCGTGGTAATTCTCCTCACAGACCACACAGAACCATCCTTACTGACAGTTCATACCCACAATCTTGTACACAAAAACAAGCAATTTAAAAAGCAAGTAAAGGGTAACATGGTAGAACTATAGTAATTACCAACTTGTACAATTGCAAAAGGATGGCACAAATGCTTAACACTAAACCGAAATACGTTTATTACAAAAATTTGAACGAACGAAAAACAAGGGAAATCGCAAACGCAACATCACTTCGCCCAACATTGACCACAAAAAACACCGTGGGTTCATCATGCTTCCGAGTTGGTTTTGGTGAAAACTAGGTGGCAGCTATGATGATTCCGGATCATAGAAAATCAAATAAATATAATAAAACCAATCGAGTATTTGTACCAATAACTAGTTATTTGTAGACGTAGTTTAACAACCGCGTGCGCCATCTTATTAGCATTTTTGTTGGGTTACATTGTAAAGCATACAATGAAATAACCAATAATTTAAAATATTAATTCGATGGCCAAAAGACGTAGTTGGGTTAGGAAATATGATTAGGAAACCTTTTGAGTAACCTTTTGGATGCGTATGGAGACAGAGCCGATTCATTTGTTCAGAGAACGGTTATTTCTTCGATGAGATACAAGCTTGCCCAATTATGGCAACATGTTAATTATGGTACATTTCAACCACGGGGATGACAACCAAAATGGCGCATCACGTGACCTGGTGACGCCACGCATGCGCGCGAACGAAGAACACAGAACGAATTCCCTTGTCTTTCCCAAACAAAATACACATATATAAGGACGGTACGAAATAAAATATATGTCTCAATGCTTCATTGGATGATAAATGTATATCACCATGCTTGTATATTGTCCACAACAAAGTTAAACGTTTTAGACGTTTCGTACAATTGGCTCACAGTCAGTGAAACTGATGAATCAGCTATCTGATGGCCGCCTTATTAATAACCATGATCGTCGATATCTTTGCGTAGATCAAACAAGAATCGCTGAGAGTTGACAATCGATAGATAATGTAAAAAATATGATAATCCTTTTATTCGATCCTAAACATGTACGTTTTTCAAAGATCTCGATATTTGAGTTTCAACCAAGCTGGATTTTGACAAAAAAAATGTTCAATGCAACTCTCGTCAACTCTAGTTTATGTGGAAGAAAACGGATTAAAATTTATGTGCCTCAGTTAATATTATTTTGCCAAGGCAAACGATATTGATGGTTTCCGTGGCTTCGTCTTAAATATATATTTGGCCTAGGTTTATATTCAGCTTTCACCCAACATCAAACGGTATATAGGTTCTTAGTAGTTGAACCAGTCTTTACCATCGTGTCTGCATGTGTCTGGAAGATATTTGTCATGTTTGAATAAACAGCATCTTGTAAGAGTATTTGTAACTTATAAGTTTGAAAATGATACAAAGATGCATCACGTTGCTGATGCAAAGTGCAAACTTATTAACGCCGTAATGTAAAAGTATACATGAAGTATAGCTAGGAATAGACGTGGGTTTTAACGTCCAGAATTCACAAATTTAATCCTTAATCTAATCCTTTAGGGTTAGTAGTTTATCTAACCCTATTAGGGATAGGAGTATGAACTTAGAATTACTACAGGATATTTTTAACTCCTTACTGGATAAACGGGTCATATTTAAGATTTATAAGGATTAGAGATTCTTCAGAAAATGTCTGACAATTTTCACTTGCAAAATTCCATGTGGATCTATATATACTATCAACAACCAATGCTATCTTGTATTGCAAGAACAAAACATGCTACTATACTAAGGCATTCATTCAAATATAGCGTTTAACCACTTCCATTACTTTGGGCATGCATGAATATTCTTTCAATAAATCTCTTACCTGAAAACCAATAGATGCTTTACCAGAAATTTGTAATCGTGATTTAATAACCCTTCTATAAAATCAAAAAACTTGATTTAATGTCAAATTGGATAAAAATTTTACCAGCTTTTAGCCTTTAGGGAGCAAATGATCAGACGAAATCTCAAAGAGCAAATGATCAGATGAAATCTCAAAGTCTGGTCTTACCCTATTGTTATATTAGCTTGTTGTTCCTTAGCGTTTCCTGTCCATACTGCTAGTTTGTCCATCTTAGGTCGTATCTGAACTACGGTACCACATACTAGATCTGAATAGTCATCAAAAGCTTCACCAACTAGGCATAATAGCTACAAAGAATGGATTTAGAAATGTTTGAAATATAACTGTTGAAAAAATAAATTATATATATACATATAGCAAAACTGGTAAAAAAGAAGCAATTTACTACAAAAAGGATGCTAGTAGGGTAGAAACAACTTTTCATGTCTGTCAATACCGTTTCTAACCATATCCTGTCTAAGTCTGCACGTTGAGTCCTATTACTATTGATTAGCCAACGACCACCAAGTTTATTCCTTTCATCTTCCCACATCGGTTTTATGCCATCCTAGAAAATGGAGATGTGTTATTAAAGCACGAAAAAACCCATACAAAACATCACTAGATAATAATTATGATACATGATTATGAGATTACCTTAAAAACACTATAATCACAACCAGACTGTAATTTTGCTGCATTCTTTATATGGTTGTATATCGCCCAAAAATCCTCGACCTTTTGTATTTGAGAATTTCCATTATGGATTTATAACAGAAATAATATTAATGCAATATGATTATCTTAAATCATTTTTGATGATAATTTACAATAATTACATCGCTATTTTGCCACAATAGCATAATCAGACAAATAATGCATTTGAAATGCGCAACACTACCAATATTTTGGGGATCAATGACTTTGAAAAACAACAATTATTTCTAAAGAAATGAATAATTATTAAAATTTACATAATAACAAATTGTTAGGCTGGATACCCAACTGACCAACCATGTCTTACTGACCAACCATGTCTTACTGACCAACCAGGTCTAGTCATGAAAATCATTTTTAAAAAGACACAAAGAATATATAGTTAAACAAATTCAAATGTACCCCCAAAACTAGCAAGTACATCATCAAAGGATACAGTATCAAATGTAGTTATAAGTCTCAGATTTGCTTCCCAGGTTTTACCCTTTTCATTCTTATAAAACCACCAAGCCCATTTATTTTGTAATGGATGTTTGACAGCTAATTCCTTCGAAATATCTGGTTCATTCTTGCTTCCTCAGCTACATTCTGTCGAAAAATATTAGTACAATATAAATTAATACTTTTGAACAGATATATTTATTATGGATAAATTTGATCAGTTATTTTGTCTCATGCAATAAGCAGAAATGCAATTCTTCAAAGAGCAAACTTAAATATTTGTTAAATTAAAATATTACAAACATTTGCAACCACTTCATAATCCTTGGGGTTATCAGATGGGGTTAACACATTGTTTCTTCCACAAGATATACAATTTTAGGATCAAATTGAAAGAGGCAAGATGAGCAATGTGTATGAAATTCCAATCAGTATTTCTCAATGTTTTGAATCATTATAAAGTTGCGGTTCTTATTGGTTTTCAACAAATAAATTGCTCAACCCCCTGCCTCCCTGCCTTTGGCAGCACTGTGTAAAATGAGAAGGAAGTTGAAATACAAAAGACTTCAATTTCATGAAGGTTTGAAGGTAAGATCAAAGACTGGTATCATGTTTTTGGTCAATGAACTTTAGTATATTGGCAGACCTACAACCTTCATGAAAATTCCTTCCCATATAGCAGCTAATTTGTCATAGTGTGGCAAAATACCTTGGGCTATATCTAGAGGGGGATTTTTGTTCATTCAAATGTTCAACATTTAAAAGTTGTACATGTGAATATAGATTGTACAATCCTCTTTTGTAACAAAACGAAGTCCACATATTTTAGGCCAATTCCTTTATATGAGAATTCATTTAATTACCATCCTATAAGATTTACAATTGTTGTCCCACCCTAAAAAATCTGATATTTAATTCGTGGCTATTTCTGGACAATGTGTCTATAAACTGGCTTGACCTTGCATCAAGTAGGTTGCATAATTGCTGTTTATTATATCGAATCAAATAAACATCCTTTAACCTATACAGAACAAATCTAATATGAAATTGACACAAATCTATCCTTTTTTGATGAGACCTATATGAAAATCTAATCGAAAACTGACTTAGCGTACACTACACTTTGATAAGGATAAACCTTAGTCATTCTAGTGCAACTCCTGTCTGAAATGTGGCCGAATCACGATTCATTTTGGCACTCTTCTACGCGCGTACCTCTGGTTTCGGGTTTTTCTTTTTCTCCTTTCCTCCTGATTCGTCTCCCGAAGCCATTTCGGTGGGTTATTTATTTGAGAGAAGATCGTAGTTTTTGTTTAATTTTTGAAGCCACACGTGCCAGAAATCAAAGTCGAACTATATATAAATTAATGAAAAATTTACTTTCGTTTGGGATGACGTCACGTGTTTTTCTACCCACAACGCACGCAAAGAATTCAACGAGGTCACAGGATCAACCACTGAGCTATAATAATCAATCGCGGTGGTTATCTTGGTTATCTATGGATATGGTAACGAAATACCACATTATCGTAGGCTCACAATTAAAGCCGCATAGGTCAGCTATTATACCCCATCAAAAACCACCGTAAATTCGTAACTGCGCGTGGTTGTGACATTAAAAAATAAAAATATTCAAGCTCTAAGCCTCCCCAATCAATAACAACCTGTTGTGGTTGTTCTTGACTGACTCCATATCTATAAGACTATGACTGAAATCACTGCGGGTAGTATCAAGATGATGGTAGTATCTATTAAGAGTACTAGGGCCTTTATAAAAGATATATTGGAAAACGTTTCGAGTTTGAGAGCAGGTTGCGTACATGGCTACATGCCTCTCATGAAAACAGCAATTGCTGAGGTTAGCATGTTTAAATAAAGTTTTATCATGGTTTTATGTATGTATGTATTGATTATAAGAATTACTTTATGTGTCCACATAAATATAGTAAAAAATGCCAACATCACACCCTGGGGATGAAAAGATTTTGTTTCAGTGCAATTGGAGCTAAGCCCCATTCAATAACAGCTATACCATGAATAACTGCTGTATATTTTCTGTACCAGGCTGGTTTCAGTAGCAAAAACAACAAGAATTTAATTTTTAAATTTTATTTCAGAACAATCAAAAGTATTCTTGGCTGAGAAGCATCCATTACTACAACAGAAGAAAAAACAAAATGAGCTAAATCAAAACTGCTGAATAGGCCATTTGAATAGGCCATACACCTAGAACATAGGTGCATAACTGCAAAACATCCATGAAACATACCTTTTTGCCAGTTCCTACTTTGGCTTTCTTCGTGCCTCTGACCTTTTTCATTCTGTTTTTCTTTTCCTTCAGCTGCTTACGAGCTGTTTTTGCTTTTTCCATCAAACCATGCTAAAGCAATAAAATCACACATTTAGCACCTTGAAAACTTGACAAATAACACATTGCTTAGTATATAATAAGACACCTTACTCAGTAAGCATTAAAATAATTTCTAAACATTTTCCCATAGACAGAAATTTAACATTTTAAACTTAGGGTTTTGTAGGTGGAAACCCAT